TTCCTTCCTTCCTTCCTTCCTTCCTTCCTTCCTTCCTTCCTTCCTTCCTTTTTTCTTTTTGTTTTTGGAGACAGGGTTTCTCTGTAGCTTTGGAACCTGTCTTGGATCTTGATCTGCAGACCAGGCTGCCCTTCAACTCACAGAGATGTGGCTGCCTCTGCCTCCCAGTGCTGGGATTAAAGGTGTGCACCACCGCTGCCAGACCCCAACTTCTCTTGAAATACTGGTTTCTCTAGTGTTTGTGGATTGGAAATAAAATGACAGGTTGTTGTTTGTTATGTTGCTGCTTGTCTTTTAGAGAGCAGGAGACCCTCTCATCAAACTCGGGTTTTTCTGGGCTAAGCCTGTTAGCTATAGATCAGAGCTCTCAAAAATCACATTCTGCTGAGAGCAGGAGGGTTGTGTTGAATAGATGCCCGGAAAAGGAGAGAGAGGGGGACAGAAACCCACCCTTCTGGCTTGATTTTTAATCTTGGCATTTCAGCAAAAGGAGCAACTCCTAAGAGATGATTTCCCAAAGGCTGGTTTCCAGCACAGTCTGCCTTCTGTTTCTATTCTCGTTACTCTCTCTATTGGGAGTCGTAAGTGCCCAGGGAGAGATGAAGCACATTACTTTTAGCCTTGAAAATGAAGCCAAGTGAAAGCCAAGTACAGAGAATAAGACAGCACCCTTCATATTCTGTGGGGAAAGTTCAACACACCAGAGTCTGTGAGCCCACCTTCCAGGTCTTCACGATGGAAATCATCGAATCCAGAGGCTTTAGAAACATCCAGCTGCTGCAAGAACCGATCTTAGACTGATAAGGCTGATAAGCTCCCTGGATGAAAAGTCCATTGTGAAAACCAAAATGGCCTCGTGACTCTGGGGTGGGAGTTTCATAAGAACTGGTGCCCTGACTCTCGGAACAGGAGTTCTGGCTGCCATGACGCAGTCACAGTCACAGTAATCAGGGCCACCTACCTCATGCCAGCAACTGTACATAACTCCGTAGATGGACATGGGGGCCAGGTGAGGGCGATACAGGCGGAACCCCTTAGAAATGGCTTCCACCACTTGCAGATTGGACTTATTTTCAAAAGGCATTTTCCCTTCTGTAAAAACTTCCCACATTAGAACTCCTGCAAAGAAAACATGCAAAAACAAGAGTCACTTGGAACCAAAACAACGGTTTGATTCAACTTGCAAGATGTTAATCTCCTCCAACTTCAGAGTCATAGTTGCCCAGAGAGAACACAGTTCTATGTGGTTGCACTCCTGAGTTTTTAAGAGGTCTGTGCCTTCAAAATAACCCTAGAAAATGATGCCTCACCGTTTATTTTGACTTTGACATCTCCCTATGGCAGAGAAAGCGGTAGCATCTTCATTGGTGAGTACTGCTCCTGTTCCTCCTCTCAAGTCAATACATCTGTCTGCTCTCCCATAGACAATGAAATATGTATGGGCCCCCTCTGTCTGCTGCTGCTGCCAGCAGTTCCCCAGCCAGCAGATGGCCATGTCTGCCTCTGTCCATGAAGAGTCTGAACTGACAGGAAGGCCCTACAGAACCCACAAGCGGCTAGGATGGTAGCTCGGTTGGTAAAGTTTTTGCTTACAAACCAGAAGACCTGGGATTGATACCCAGAACCCATGTGACGATGCCTGGCACCCCTGAGAGAGAGGGCAGTGGTTACGAGTACTAAAGCTTCCCTCGCAGAGAAACCATTTGGTTCCCAACACCCATGGCAGCAGGCCACAGCTGCCAGTAACTCTAGCTCCAGGGGAGACAATGCCTCTGCTCTCTGTGGGCATACACAGTCATGTGCACATATCCACACACACACACATATGCACATAAACAAAAATAATAAAAATAAATCCTTTTTAAGTGTTTGGCATAGTGATGTACACTTGCAACCCCAGCCTTGGAGAGGCTAGAGACAAGCAGATTTCAAAGGTCACTGGCCACTGGTCTAGTCTAATTAGTGAGCTCCAAACCAATGTGAAACCGTCTCAAGGGAGGTGGATGGCATCTTTTTTTAAAAAAAAATTATTTAACTTCGTTTTATGTGCACTGGTATGAAGGTGTTAGATCCCTTGGAACTGGAGTTACAGACAGCTGTGAGCTACCATGTGAGTTCTGGGAATTGTAGCCATGTTCTCTGGAAGAGCAGCCAGTGCTCTTAACTGCTGAGCCATCTCTCCAACCCCTGAGCCATCTCTCCGAACCCGGTGGATGACATCCTTGAAAATGACAACCAAGATTGTTCCCTGACCTCCACAGTATGTGAACACGTGTGTGTGCAAGCACACACACACACACACACACACACACACACACACCAAAACAAAAAGAAGAAACTCACTAGCTCACTAGTTCACTATCCACAGAGGAGAAACCGTGTGACCCCGAGTGAGTTCCAATTGCTCTACAGCCTCCTGAGGAGATTCCTTGTCTTACTAAGACACACTCATGCAATCCCTCCCCAGCAAAGCTCAAAACCATGCCCGCTGAGAGACGAGGTCAGTAGAGAGCTAACAAGATTCATGATACAAACAAAACCTTGTCGTGAAGAATATACTCACACACTTGTGAGGACAAGGACATCTCTCTTAGAGCCACCCAGGAAGTCCTGGATGAAAACCAACAGAGTTTTGCTCATCGGTTGCAATGGTTGAAAATCAGCTCAGATGAAGAAGCTGCCCTGGGCATAGATCTACAGTGGCTCTTTCTCTGTGGAGAGTGTTAGTCAATGTGGACATCACATCCCAAGAAGCCAAGGTGCATAGCCCATAAACCCCATAAAGTGAGGGTCATGAACTGTTGTTTCTCTTAGATTTACATGTTAAGAAGTTCAAATTGTCATGTTTGAAAATAGTCAAACACCGTATAACTAAACAATACAGCGTATGAAGTGTACTGGAAACCAGCCTCTGTGATACGGAAACACTGGCTGCATCTGCCTTCTCAGAGACTCCTTGTTATAGCTTCATGGCAAATGCTCACTGAGAGCAGAGTTGTGTGAGGGGCTGCATGAGTCCAGTTGCCAAAGAAGTTACAAGAAGGCTTTTAGATTTGTTTATTTATTAATAGTGTTCTGCCAGCATGCATGCCTGCACACCGGAAGGGGGCACCAGGTCTCACTACAGATGGCTGTGAGCCATCTTGTGGTTGCTGGAAATTGAACTCAGGACCTCTGTGGAAACTGAACTCAGGACCTCAGTAAGAACAGTCAGTGTTCTTAACCTTTGAACCATCTCTCCAGCCCATAGAAAGGCTTTTCAAGAATGCCACACCATGTCAAACAAGTTCGCAAACAAACAAGATCTGAAAAGAAAGGCTGCCACTGTATTGAATCCAGCAACAACAAATAGACTCACCAAACGACCAGACATCAGATTTGCTGCTGTACTTGTTAAAATGGAACACTTCGGGTGGGGACCACTTGACTGGGAACTTAGCTCCAGAGGAACTGATGTATTCGTCATCCAAAACGTACCTGCCATTGTGGGAGTCAAGCACACTGTGTTAACGGCCACCAAGGTCTAATTCCTTCAAATACTTTTGTCTGCGCTGACCTGCTAAAACAGTGTTTCCCCCAGAAAAGACTTGGGCACCATGTCGTCTTGATGGCAGGCGACCGTGTTGCCCTTCATTTGCTTTCCTCCTCTAGAACCATGTCTCCTTGATTTCATTTTCATGAGATCTCTGGAAACTGCAGTTCCCCAGTCCCAAAACTAGGAAAGACTTATGTTTATTAAGGACCAGATTCTGGAAAACAAATGAATCTTAATATGCCTTGGTAAAAAAGACCTCAGTCATTCCCAGGGAATTTAATGGATAAATCTTCTAGATAGACATTCCACAGTGACCAGGACAGATGGCCAGCCATGACCAAAGGGGAAGGACAGTGGCTGCACAGATGTCAGAGTGCACATTTCAACAGGACCAGCCAGACCATCTCCATGACACCCGCGGCATGAGACACCTAAAACCTGGGCTTTGACTACTGAAGAATTCAGAAAGAAATGCTGAATTCAGGTAACTTCTGGGGCCCTACAAAAGGAAGCCTGTAGCTGGGCGGTGGTGACACACACCTTTAATCCCAGCACTCGGGAGGCAGAGGCAGGTGGATCTCTGTGGGTTCAAGAACGGCCTAGTCTACAGAGCTAGTTCCAGGACAGCCAGGGCTACACAGAGAAATCCTGTCTTGAAAAGAGAAACCCTGTCTCAAAAAACAACAATAACAAAATTATTTGTGAAAAAAATATGTGGCTAGGTTTATCCCAGCAATGACTTAAAACCAACTTCCAAACTTGGTCACATGATGTCTGATGGTGACCTGAGAAAATTAGAGCTTATCAAGAACATTTATTTCCTCCTGTCTCTCTCAAAAATACACATTCATTATAAAACATACATTTACTTAATCACACACATTTGAATGGACTAAGAAATCCTTGTTCCTGTTTTAAGATCTACCATAGGTGTGTCAACAATAGCCTGGAAGAAGACAAGAACAGGGCACAGTAAAAATCCAACTCACGGGGAAGCCTGGCATGTGTCCTGAAATCCCAAACAGTCTGAGCCGTGCAACCACACGGACACTTAGCCCACAGAGACACCTTCCCTACAGGGACACTGTCCTCACAAAGACACTTCCTCAGAGCAGAAAGAAAGAGACAATAACAACTTCAGTGTGCAAGGCTGAAGATGGAGGGAAGGCTTGACAGAAAAGGGGCTTGCCATAATGCCTGACTGACTACCTGAGTTTGAATTCATAGGGTGGAAGGAAAAAACTGATTCCCACAGTGTCCTGACCTACACACACACACACCATGGCATACCTAAGGATGCATGACCACACACACACACACACACACACACACACACACACAAAATGGTTTTTTAAAATTCAAGACTCCTTCTTACAAGTGGACAAAGCAGACAGAGAGGGCACATACCTCGTCATCCCAAAGTCTGAGATCTTTACTACGCAGGAAGAGCTGACCAAACAGTTCCTTGCCGCCTGTAGCAGGAAGAGAAGCATCGAAGCTGAACCATAGTCTTTCTTTGGAAAATTTCTACGTTCATTTTTCTTACCTTGTTTCGGTTCCACGTTACCTCTCTGCATGAGCAGCTACGGGAATTTCATGGTGACATCTCTTATTGATGTACATAACTCAGTGCTCAACTTGTATGCCATAGTTTTAATGATTCTTCAATGTTAAAAAAGTTAATATTGAATGTTCACAGTTTTTAAATTTTAATCTTTTCCAACAAGTATCCTGGATAAATATGTGGGTTAGTTTAATCTAATAGATGATAAATTAAGTACTTGGCATAAAATACTTTAACTTTTATTTTTTACTTAAGTTGTGAAAAGTCTGACATACATGACAGATCAGAAGACAGTCATATTGTATCTTTGGGCCTCCAGTGAGTAATAAGAATTAAAAAAACAATTGAGCCAGGTGGTTGTTGCTCATGCCTTTAATCCCAGCACTTGGTAAGCAGAGGCAGGTAGATTTCTTTGAGTTTGAGGCCAGCCTGTTCTTCAGAGCAAGTTCTAGGACAGGCTTCAAAACTACACAGAGAGACCCTTCCTCAAAAAAAAACAAAACAAAACAAAACAAAACAACCAAAACCACAAAAAAACCCTATATATTAAAAGTTTTCTTTCACTGCATTACTATTTCTAGTGATAATTCTCTATTTCTTTTTAAAGTTTCTTTTTATTTTAGGTATATGGGTGTTTTGCCTGTGTAGGTAAAAATGGGGTGTTGGAGCCTCTGGAACCGGACTTACAGAATGGTTGTGATCTGCCATCCCAGGTCCTAAGGAAGAGCAGCAAGTATCTTTAACACCGAGTCATCTCTCCAGCCCTCTCTATCTCTTCTTATCACAGTGAAGTAAAAGTAACACAAAGTCAATCTGGTTATAATCAAAGCAACTCATTATCAGCAAGGCCATAGAGAAACTCACCCTCACCATTTCCATCAGTTTTAACTCTCCTCCTTGTCAGGGAAGAACCCTTCAGAGGCCAGGAAAATAGGCAAAGTGGATTGGAAACTGTAAACTGTCCCCATCATCCACTCAGGGTTGAATCGCTAGCTTCTTTGTGCTGGGCACCAGGGAATGTGCAGGGGGGAATCCCCGAACCGTGGTCAGCTTCCTCGGTGGCAAGCAGTGCCGAGCCCTGGTGGGACAGGCCCTACTTGTGACTTGTGCACCCTGATTTGTGTAGGCCTTCCGGCAGACCCACATGAAGGAGGTGACATAGAGAAAACCACTTTCCTACTTAACTAGCTCTCTCAGGATCACAAAACTAGTCTGCAAAGGAGAAGACTCCAAGCCAGGCGGGGGTGGCTTACAAGCTGGACTGCCTACTGATGCCTCCGTTTCAATCCCAGAGATTCTGATTTAGCTGGCTCGGCTGGGTTTTGACGATTTTTCTCACAGCTCTTCGGTGATTCTCACACACAGTCAAGTTTAACTGTAAGGACCTTTCCTCCACAAACCACGTTCTTCAAACTGTGCCTCGTCTTGGGAGTCTAGCCTTGGATCTCAAGGTGTTCGGGGTGCAGTATTCATGTAGAAACGTAAGTAACTGAAGCTACTCCCATAAAGTCTCATCAATATGACTTCCCAAATGTAAGCTGAAGAAAGACAACACCAATGGACTTGCCAAAGCGGGTGGGAGAAAGCCCGTGAGGCCTCAACCCTCTAAACACAAAGAACTGCAGGCAACTGAGAAATGCTGGGAGAGGGAGAGGTGGGTGGTCTTTTCCAGAAGACCATACTACTTGGTTATTCGGTGCCAAATGGCCAGCCTTAAAAATACAGATACAAGCAACATTCTTGTTGGCTAACAAATTCATCGGATATTGAAAAAGTCCACCCTGCAGGAAGTTCCTTAGGTGGGAAGGTAAGCAACTCGAAATAGCTCCAGGAAGTCCCTGAAACTGACCAGAATTAGTAGGCCCCTCCCTGCCAGAGCAGAAAATCTGCAAAGACTGAAACTAGACAAGCTGCCTGGAAAAGGTTAGCATCAGGTCACCTGGAGAGGACCCTCTCCAACCTTGAGCTTCCTGTAGGCTGTGCAGTGTGCTCCGGGGTCCCAACTTTGTGAGCTGGGGTGGGCTTTGGTGATGCAGCTGTCTTTGAGTCAGTGCTGCTCCTGTAAGTAAATCATCACCCACATTCCTGTGAATATCTCCCCCCCCGCAAAAAAACCTCATTGATTCGCCAGGTTGAAATTTGATGGTATCCAAACCCTGGTCTGTCATGAGTTCTCTGTCTGGAGTGAGTAGACATATGTACAGCACCTCCCAGGCAAAGTTTTGTCACACAACAATCATATGGACTGAGCAGGTTACATCTAGGAATATACATGTGTGTACATATACATATACATGTGTACTTGCAGTAGCAATTGATGAAAACAGAGTCCATTATTTGAAGGAGAGTAGGAGTGGCGTATGGGAGGGCTTGGAGAGAGCAAAGGGAAGGGGGAGATGCAATTATATTATAATCTCAGAAAGGGAAAAGGAAAAGAAATGTCAGTAATTAGCTAGTGTGTGACGGTGTAAGTAATAAATGCCACGACTGGTCTGAATTGAAGGCTTGTCTTGCCTTTTCCCACGGTGCTCTGGGATTAGTGAAACTCCATCTGCAGCCACGCCCCTGGATCCTCCAGGCTCAAGGATGAGTGCTGTAATAAAACCAGCCTGGGAACGAGAGTCCAAAGCCCAGGGTTGAACAAATAAAAGAAATTTGTATAGGATTCTCAAATTCTCCTTTGAGTTAAATTTTCTATCTGTAAATGGAACCCAGAAGAACAGGGAGAGAATGGTGTGAGGACCCCGAAGCCTGCAGTGGCCTGGGTGTGGTACCCGGGGTGCAGAAGTGAGGACACGGAGTGGGGCAACTGGCGCTTGGTCTGGGGTCAGAGAGCCCTGTTATGTAAGCGTGTTCCCAGCATTACCCAGCAGAATGACTGGGCATTTCTAGTCTCCGTCATGAATGCCAAGCATTCCACAATGCAAGCAATTACCACAAGCAAGCCCCCCTGTACCGTGGAGAAGAGTCCTGGGGACCCTTTCCTCCCGGCGGGACTCCAGGGCCGACACTGCGCAGCAGATATGAAACACTTGGGACAAGTGTGACTGTGGGAGTTTGAATTTGATTGGAAGGAAGAAGGGTGAAAGGAAGGCCAAGAAAGAAGGGAATGAGGAAGAGAAAAGAGGAAAAAGCACTGTAGTTAATTGCTTCATTAAGTAGTTAATTAGTGAAAGGCATCTTAGAGTAATTGCCTACTTGGTTACAGCGTTAAAGGGCAATTAAAAATAAAATTACGGGGTTGAAGGATGCAACTCAGTGGTAGAGCACAGGCTTAATGTGTGCAAGGCCTGGGTTCAAATCCCAGCATTGCAGAATAAATGAGAAAGGTGATTGACCTTTCACAATAAAATGCACAAATCTAAAACCGTTCTAAAAGGAAGTCAAAGGCACACTCTTCAAAGTACCAAAAGTGATTCCCATGTCCTTCTCAATCAAGGCCATGACATAAGGTGAGTTGCCCCGACTCACCAGATCCCTGTGGATATAGCAGCTCCTCTCTAGGTACGCCATCCCTTCACAGATGTCCTGGCACACACTCAAGAGCAAGGCCTTCTGAAGCGTGCCTTTCCTCTCCCGCAGGTAGTTGAGCAGGCAGCCATTTTCCATGAACTCTGTCACTATGTAGAGGGGCTTCTGCTGTATACACACTCCATAGAGCTGAACCAACCTCGAGTGTGACAGTTTCCTATAGAAGAAGCACACACCAGTGAACTGGGTTATTCTTGCATTGTAAGACAGTAATATATTATTTTCATATTTGAGATAAGATAAGCATCAACCCAACCACTAGGAATGCGCAACATTTTCTTTCCACACATTGCACTGAAAACGCAGGCCCAGGAGCTTGTGGGGTGCTTCCAAAGTCGTCGTTGTGGAATATTGCACGCCCCACATCCGGCTTGCAGCCGCTCCCTTTGCTTCGTCCTGCCGCGTCGTCTTTTGCATCCTCATTATTGATTTTTCCCAGCCCAGGTTCTCAAGAAACCCCAGTCATCCTAACTATAGCCTTTAAAAAATTCCAGACAGGCCGTGGGGAGGAAAGATTGACTGATGGCCATAAGACAGAAAATGGAATTCTAAGTGGTAAAGCTATTTAAAAGTAAGTGTTTAGATAAAGCCAGAGACTAAAAATGATTGGCCAGCATGAAACCATATTGTGTATTCGGGTTATCACACAGAGTTTAAGTTTCCCATTAAAATACACTCATTTTTTTTAAAAGAAAGATTTATTTGGTTTTATTTTATGTGTATTTTGTCTGCACATATGTCTGTGCACCATGTGCATGTAGCACCCACAGAGGCCAGAAGAGGGCCTCAGATCCATGGAACTGGAGTTAGCAAACAGTTGTTAAACCACTGTATGGCTCCTGGGGACTCGGCAAGAGCAGCCAGTACCTGTAACAGCTCAGCCCTCTCCCCAGCTCCATTACTTATATTTTTTAAAGGCCATTTAAGCTTCAAGCATTTACTGGGTTCCCTCACCCAACCTGTGAAATATATCAGTCAATGTCTAAAGGCCTTTTAGGTCAACTGGGGTCACCGTGAAAAAGAAAATTCAAATTAATGTTTGCAGTTTTAAAAAATGCATCATGCATCAGCAATTCTGTTGGTCAGAAATATTGTGAAAAGTACCTAAAATATGATATTTTCAGTGATGAAGTGTGTGTGTGTGTGTGTGTGTGATGCTGATATGGGTATATATTAGACATACTTTGTCTGACTTATCTTTCAAGTCCATAAAGCTTACTTTCAGCTAAGGCGTGTGGTTTTTATGTATGCATAATCATGTCAGGAAAGCAAGTCTCAGAATGAAACCCTTCCATGTCATAAGAAACCCAAGACCAGAGCTACACAGAACCCTTTGAGAACTGAACTATTAGTAAGCATTTGCTTACGAGGGCAACTGCCAAATAAGACAAATATCTATTAGGAAACAAAAGCAAAAGCAAGTAAGTAAGCCTTTCTATGTGGTTCAGTTGAACACACAGAACAAACACTTCTCCGAGGCAGAGAACTCTGCGAGCAGAAGTGTGCTCCGACTTTCTGAGAGCAGAAGTGTGCTCTGGCTTCCTGTAATGCCAGTTTCTCCACACACACGCCATCCCCAGTTAGAGAAGTGGCTCACTTCAGGACAATTGGTAGATGTATTTAAATTTGTTTTTATTTAAGCATTTTCAAAACTTCTACAGCCTTCTCCTATTATTACCCTTTCCTACCTCCTCCTCTTCCCTTGACAACAGAATCAAGTTGCATGGTTCTCAGTATCATCTTCGGGGACCATTCTCAAATTCATCTCCTCCAACTTGACCTTTCTCCTGAACTCTGGCCTCATGCATTTCCCTGACTACTTAGTCATCATTGATCCTCTAATAGGCTTCTCAAATTCAACACCACACACACACACCACACACACACACACACACACACACACACACACAACTAGAGCTCCCTGCATGACTTTCAGTCAACACCACTGGAGAAAGTTCTCTTCCTAGCATTTGCTTACTGTTTTTGTAGCCTTGTGTGTGTGTGTGTGTGTGTGTGTGTGTGTGTCTGTGTGTCTGTGTGCATGTGCGTGTGTGTGTGTGTGTGTGTGTGTGTAGGGCTTGTGACTCTTATAAATTCCTCGTCTCCTGCATCGTGTAAGTTTCATTCATCAGTTCCTGAGTCTCCTGAGCAGGGGGGAGCATTCCAGTTCCAAGGAAACAGCTTCACTAAAGTCTAAATTCGTGAGCTCCCAGCCAGGGTCGGCTCTTTCCAGAAGCCTTCCCCCCCCCCATCATCTCACGTTCAGAGAAGATTCTGATATGGTTTTTAACTCGGAGTTACATAAGTCCCATTTATTCTTTTCATACTCTGTCACTTTAATCCCAACACAGGCTGCTACCCTTTGGCCCTCTGGACACAGAGCTGGCTGATCTGGGAGCATGAGTCAGCAAACAGGTGATCCGGGGAACAGCAGCAGCCATAAACCACTGGGAAGCGGTGTCCTGGGAAAGTGTGCTCATCACAATTCCGTCCAGAGTTCTTCTTTTGTAAATGGATAGAAAGGATACTTTGGTAGGATAGGTGAGATAGGAGCTTGAAAACTCTGAGTCCTAATTGCTCTGTCCTCCCTGGAGAAGGCACTAGCTAATCTCTTCCCATTTCTATTGAATCTCTGTTTATTTTGTTTACTTTTGGGGCCTGCAAGTTTGGGACAGAACACCACTGCTCTGGACAACAGCACAGTTGAAATGAGAAGACTTAGGTTTGCTTGTTTGTTTGTTTTCTCCCTCTGATACATTGTTGTTCTTCTAAATAAACATTGCACAAATGTTTAGAGAACATTGACTTGAACTCTCCTGGTCCAAGCTCAGATTATAGTAACAAACTACAATCAATATATTTGCTTGGGTAGGGGCAAAACCAGACACCACTAACTAAATAGCACTTACTCAGCACCTACCACCAAGCTGAAAATAATCTACTTTCCCTCTGGTCATTTCCTTAAGTCACACTGCCATCCACTGCCATGTGTGCTGTGATTCCCAATTTTATAGGCCAGAACTTTTGGGGACTGGAAAGTGACATAGATCATACGCGTCACACAGAGGTTTTGCCTGGGTTACCCAACTAGCTCGGGGAGAGTTGTGACACCGTTGTAGGTGTGTCTGAATCGAATTTGAGGTTCTGTCCAAGCCCCTGGGGCAGTGTTTACATGAGGTGGGAAAATCCCTCCCTCCCCAGATTGAGCCATGTTTATGGCGTGTGTATATGGGTGGGGCTCACCATGTTTATAGTATGTGTATGGGGGTGGGGTTTACATGTATGTGGCATGTATATGTGGGTGGGGCTCACATGTTTATGGCGTGTGTATGTGGGTGAGGCTCACATGTTTATGGTGTGTGTATGTGGGCAGGGCACACATGTTTATGGCATGTTATGTGGGTGGGACTCACACTCACATCATCACTTTGGCTTCTTCGATGAAATCCTCTTCGGACATGGAACCTTCATTGATGGCCTTGATGGCGACCCGGATGTGTGCTCTCCATTCTCCTAAGTGGACTACCCCGAACTGACCACTTCCAATCTCCTTGACAAAGGTCAGCTCAGATGGGTCTATCTCCCACTTTTCTAGAAAGGCAAAGGACTCGTGTTACTAAAGTGGAGGGAATGCAGAACTTAATTCTGCAGAGAAAACATTTAGGAATTATCTCATCATAGTCCCTTGTTTTACATAGAACTTTAAGACATACAGGGGAGGATCTGTGACTATTTTTAATATTCTCATTGAGTTTTAATGTGTAATTCAAGACAACCAATGTTAAGAGAGTCACCTGTTTGGAGATAGGAATATATAACAAATTGTGACTATCAAAGTATTATATTTAACACAACAGTGTGCTTTTCTAAGCAAAACCAGACCTGGGACTTAAAACATGGATGGACTTTAAGTTTTGGACTTAAAGTTTTTGGACTTTAAGTTTTGGACTCTGTTTTAAACAGGCCCAAAAATGTGAGCCTGTTTCCACCTTGAGTAAAGGTCAAAGAGTTGGAACTTTCTTCTGGTTCCTTCAAGGTTATTATGTTTCTACCTCAAACAAAGATCCTACTTAGATTTAGGTTAGAGAGTTCTGCTCTCTCAAGGTTAATATCTAAGGGTGTGGCTAATAGCCAGACCTTGTATTTCAGGAATAAAGAAGTAGATATGTTTCTACTCCAAACAAAAGTCTCAGGATCCAGCTAAGTTCCTACACCCTTAAGGAGATAGCAATGGATTCCACCCAGGCAGTGGGTTGCCTCCAGAATATTTTGGTCTAGGGTGTGAGGGTGACAACTGATACTTTTGTCGAGGCTGGTCCCCAACATATTGCCCAGCCTGGTGTTGTTGTGATATTACATGTATAAATCACAGGAAACTGGTGGTACTTCCTCTTCCCGTTTCAGTTCTGTGCTCTGTTCTCACTGCTAAAGAGCCACACTGTCGCCTAGGTCCTCTCCTTAGGTAAGGGTCCGGTCATGTACTACACATGTCCATTGTGAGAATGCTAAACATATACCTAAACATGGATTTGAGGTGAAATTCGTGTTGCTGCTTAGGTCTCATAAGCAAATCAGGAAAATGAACAAAAGAACTGTTTTCAAAACTAAGACACTTGAAACTGTCAAGGCTGCACATTTGAGCACCTACTTTTTATACAACAATACCACCATCTGCTGGAACTTCAGGGTAAGGCACCCCGCAGAATTTAGGTGGGACCTAGTCGCCAACCCAGGAGTGAAATGCTGTTGTAAAAGTAACGTGATAGAACAAATCTTGGCCTTGGCAGTGGTGAAGAATTACTGATAAAATATGCTCACAGAAGGAATATTAATAAATTGAAACTCATATTTTTTTCTGTTCATCTGGAGAAATGGCTCAGTGGTTGAGAGCACTTGCTGCTTGCTCTTGTAGAATTCAGTTTCCAACACCCACATGATGGCTCCAAATCTTTCTCAGCTCCAGTTCAAGGGGACTCAGCGCTCTCCCTCTTCTGGCCTCTGAGGCAACAACCACACATGAAGTGCACTTACATACATGTAGACAAAACACTCAGACACGTAAAATAAAGATAAATCTTTAAAAGAAGAGAAGTGTTAAGAACAAATCAATCGCCGGGCTGTGGTGGCGCATAATCTCAGCACTCTAGAGGCAGAGGCAGGTGGGTCTCTGTGGTTTGAAGCCAGCCTGGTCTACAGAGCAAGTTCCAGGACAGCCAAGGCTATACAGAGAAATCCTGTCTTGAAAAGACAAAGAAAAAAAAAGAAAGAAAAAGAATAAACCAATCAGAAAAAAAACCATAAAATCCACTTTAAGGGTAAAGGTGATGAATATTTGATCGTTAAAGAGATTATTTGAAGAGCCACTACATCTGTTAAAAGGTGATCAAAATAATTAGTCATGAGAGATCAAAATTAAACCATCATATACTTGCTACATTGGTGAAAGTGTTAAAAAGAAATACTAAATATTGGCAAGGATGAAAGAGTGGAGCTGGCATCCATATACATTATTGACAGTTGTGGAATTTGGAATAAACTCTTTGGGAAATTGACTTTGCCTAGGAAATTGCACATTGTGAATAGCCTATGGCCCAACAAAACTACTCTAAAGTATATCTAGAGTGGAGGATAAATGGACATTTATCAGCTAAACACAAGCAAGAACTTTCAAAGGAATAGTATTTGTAAGAACCCTGATGGCTGTGTAAAAATGGTGGTAGCATTATGTCACAATGAGAAAGAGTCAGCCTCAACCAACACAGTAGATAAAATTCAAAGACAGTGAGAAGAGGAGGAGTTCAGATGCAAGAGTGGAATATATATACATATATATATATGTGTGTGTGTGTGTATATATGTATATATACATATGTATATATAATGTGATAGGTATGGTTTATATACCATTCTGTTAAAAAATTTTGAACTTTTTCTAAGAAATTAGAGAGCAATATATTCAACCAAATTGCCACTTATATAAGTTCTTATACATAGTAACAACAAAGGCACCCTTCCAACTTGCTTAGACTCAGACCTGAAGCATAGTCATTTTACACAATGTAATTCTTATCTTTCTTTTTTCCCCCAGTATAATCTGAGTTCTACTAATGAGAGAAATTCAAGATAAAACATTTCAACAAGTCAGATAACCAGCTTCCCCGGTTCACACTTATTCTCACAGAATCTGAGGGCACCAGTTCTATGTGCGCAAAGATGACATGGAGATGTCCCTCGGCTCCTTTTGATAGCTTCTCTTGGAAAGCAGTCATTTCCTACCCACCCTTGTAAGCAGAAAACAACAGCCTCAACATCTGGAGAAGAGAAGTTATTCATCAAAATGGGAAAGATGACAGCTCTCCATAAGGTGTAGTGAAATGTGAGATAAAACCAGAACATTGCTACCGAGTTCAAATTCAAATTGCCCCAGGAGATGGATGATTTAAACACCTCCAGCAGGACATTGAATTTAAACACACACACACACACACACACACACACACACACACACACACGTAGGTAGACTTTTCAAATGAACTGAGAATTTAAAGAATCTGTGGGGTGGTTCCTGGATGGATGGATGGATGGATGGATGGATGGGTAGGTGGGTGGACGGACGAATGGACAGATGGAAGGATGGACGGACAGATGGTTGTCTTCCCTCGGCACACGTGTGTACTTTACCATAGCTAAAACCAGCTGTGGCTGGTAAGCAGCTGCCCAGGAGCCCAACTGGATAGCGGAGACGGGACATGAGACCTAAGAAGGAAGAAAAATGAGCATATCAAGACTTGCTACTAGCTACAGAAGGAAGAACTAAGCACTAGGAGACAGCGCTTGTCTTTAGACGATGCGGCAGAACAATACTGCAGTCATATAGTATTCTATTTTCCCTTTGAAAACTTTCCGTTCATAACATATACTCACCATACATAATCTGACAATTCTAAATTAACAAAAAAAAACCTCTCTCACAAAATCTCAGTGTGTACAGGTGAATTATTATAACTTTAATGAAAAACTTGGCAGAACTCTTTATTTGAAAAATTGGAAACATGTATGTATTAAATACATTATACAAAATATCAATGTTTTATTATAAACTTTCATACTAAACATGTAGTTTATACATACTGATAACTATAAGTAGACCCCAAAATATTTCTGACGTCTCAGTATTATAAAATAGGTCATGTTTTCTTGAACATGAATTTATAGGTATTCTTTCAATTTTTCTCTTATAGAATGGAATATTTGATCAAATTGTTTCCAGAAGTGCCAGAAAAATCCACTTAATTATCAACGTGAACACCCTTTAAAAAATATTTTTTGTGTGATTTTTTTTTTTGCCATTGTTCTACTTTGGTTTCATTTCGTTTGTTTGAAGGTAGCACAGTAGAATGAGTAAGATTTCATTTGACTGGATCAACATGAAGAATTCTAGGCAGTCAATTTCAATTTATCAATAAACTTTCATTATTTGTTTCTTCAGTTGCTACTCATTGAAAGTCTGTTTGCATCGTGTTCTATCTTATGCTAGAAAACGGTGTTGAATGAGATGCTCTTGACCTCTGTTCTCTCAGATCCCACTTATTTCTAGGGAAATAACGTGTGTGGACTCCCAAGAAAAAGGAGGTGGTCAACACAAGACGGAGTGGATAAAATGCAGTGGTTGGAGAATGGGTGGTCGAGGAAGGCCTTTCAGACAAGATGGCAGGAAGGATGACCCTGGCTGACACGGAGTCATTCACAAAGATCAGTAGGAGAAGCCCAGGCAGACAGATAGCATGTACAAAAGCTGGGACACAAAGGCAGGCTCAACTAGTAGAAAACCAGAAGATATTAAAGCCTAAAATATACAGGATTCTCTTGCAAGTAAATCCCCAAGACTTCAGCCAATCCAGAGACAATTGAGATGACTCCTCCTCCTACTGAGAGCCTTCCTTTAGTGGGGAACCATACGAAAAGACAGACCACTGTCGTGTACATGATGGAGGCACACACAGACTCGCTGGGACACAGACAGAGAACACCAAGCACACAGGACTGCATGAAGGTTGGAACCTGAACAAAGAGCAGGAGGTAGGAGGAGGCAAAAAGTTATATTTGAGAAGTACATATTATTCTGGTTGTGATATCAGGGCCTTGTAAGCCGTGTCGGAGAGCACTGCATTCTACAGCAGAGGACGGGAGGAAGAGAAAGAGCAAAGGAGATTGGTGGGAGAGCGGGGGCATGCCAGTCTCAAACAAGGAAGTGAAATCTTCAGCTTTAGATCCCTGGCGGTAGCATAGAGGTGGATGGACGGGAAACAAACTTTGGAGACAAAGCCTTAAGAAACTGCTGGAAATTGTCCACTATCTTCCTAATCTGGTAGAAATAAAAAAACCTGCAGCTCAAGTCTTGCGCCTTGACTAGGGAAAGAAAAAGACATGTTGATGAAAGCAAACATTGCCCAGGAAAGATTGTGTTTCGGCCCATAGACAGGATGTTTAGGGCATTTTACTGCTGTTGAGCATCTGAGACCGTGCATGCCTCCCCTGACAAGGGACTGGCCCCCAGCGCTTCTCCCCAGACCTGACTCCTCACTGCTGTAGAATAATCCTTTTGTACGCCGCCGTGACGCTGTTATGCTCTCATCGGTTTAATAAAGAGTCAACTGACCAGTAGCTAGGCAGAAAGAGGGTAGGTGGGAGAGCCAGACAGAGAATGCTGGGAAGAAGGAGGGTGGAGTCGCCAGCCAGACGCAGAGGAAGCAGGAGATGAACGTGCAGTGTTGAAAAAAGGGACCACCACGTGGTAGGGCATAGATAAGAAATATGGGTTAATTTAAGTTGAAAGAGCTGGTTAGTAAAAGTCAAGCATTCATAATTAATAATAAGTTTCTGTGTGATCATTTGCGGAGCCGGAGGTCCTGACAATAACCGCCTGTACCTCACTTACCAGCTGCATTGTACTGGTGATACTGGATCAGCTCTGGAACAGATGGAAAGAGGTGTCTCTCAGCGACATACCATTGTCCCGAGTCGTTCTTTTTAATCTGATAATGTTTTATTGAAGACTGTGCATGTCTGTAATCAGTAAAATACCAGTTACTAGAGAAACAAAAGACTGCTTTAGAATCAAGTCAGCGTGTTAGGCGGTGCGACCCCCACGCTCACGCTTTCTTCCTGGCAATACTCCACGCTGATGAGAGAATAGATGGGCTCAACAGATACCTGGCCGTCCCAGGAAAACCCCTCAAATATCGTCCGGGTACCTCATGTTCAACATAACATTAGAAGACAAGCCCCATGCCCAGTGAAGCAAAGCTCGTCACGAAGCACACTTATCTCTTGAACGCTGAGTTTGACCAAACCAATGAGAAATTCCTTCATGAGGGATCGGAAAGGTGAGCTGAGGAGAGGAAAGTGGATAGAGGGAACTGCTGAGCAGGTAACTGCATCGGGCAGCTGTGGCTTCGTTACTAAGCCACAGTCACACTGAGGTGGTCACTCCTCAGCTCCTTCCATCACTAAGGAAGGGCTGCTCCTGAGGCGCTGCCTCTCAGGCATCTCTACCTCACCACAAGTTCCCGTAGTCACAGAACAGCCTAGGCATAAAGGCACGGGAAGCTTGAGGAGCCCCTGAGCCCTCTGTGCAGGCCAACCCTAGAGGGGGTCTAAGGAACCCACCACTAGTGTCTCACAACTAATCTAATTTGATCAGGAGGGTTGGTTGGGAAAAGAAAGAGAAAGGAAGCTACACCATAGACTCGTCGTGTTACACACTTCATTTCCTGTAATAGATGGCAGAGATATAATGTGAACTGGGTGGTTGTCCCAGTTCCTAGGCCAGCAGTCTCCTCCCTAAGCTGAGTTCTTTCGCAAAGTCCCCATGTGATGGTGTCTGTGTAAAGCAAAATTGTCCCAAAGATTATCTCTAAAGTCATCACTACCACAACGCTTACCTTCCAGCTCTTGTAAACACAGAAATTGTATAAGACCCCAAATGTCTCGAATCTCTCACAATAAATGCACCTTCTTTAGCCTGCAAAAATAAAACTTATCCATTATTCAAGTGTATTCTTTCTTAGAAAAACAAACTGAGATATCTCTGATAAAAACCGAACCTACATAGATTTACTATAAGTAACTTATATTAAAAAAAAGTAAGTGACTTCTTTATTCTTACACTTGAAGAAGGAGATTACTTTTCAAGAGCACACTATCGTAGTATCTCAAAGATTTAGGAATCGTATGGGCAAGAGAAAGTAACTTAGATAAGAAATTTAAAATGTGTGAATATTTTAAAACATTATCCTTGAGTTTTCCAGGGCAGGTCCAGGTCTGGACAACCTTGTACCCAGCATCTAGTGGTTTTTGTTGTGCTGAGGAGGAAAACAGGTAAAAATCGCTGATCCACATAAAAGCAAACTCTGAGTCGGGCTGACAAGGCTGCGTGCTAGAAGGGGAACGAACGACGCAGGGAGAACCTGTTTTCGGAAAGGCAGAGGGGTTAGATAAGGGATCAGAGTTCGTGAGAAAGAATACACATGGGGGATCCTGTTGGGAGTAGCAGACTGTTGTGGGGGTGCGTGAGATGAAGAGAAACGGAAGCGGGGGACACAGTAAGACTTTCAAGGCTCAGTTAAGAGCTAGGTCCCTGTGGACATTCTTGGAAGAAACTCCTCGAAAGCTGTAAATTGCCTTCTGATCATTTTGACAGTTAGACCGCTTTGTTTGTTGTTACGCAGTTTTTCTGCCTCGGTGGGCGTGCTAATGTTAAACACCTGAAGACCAAACAGCCGCAGGGTCTCTCTGGCGAAACCACCCACAGACCAGTGGTTCTCCACCTTCTAATGCTCCGTTCTTTAAAACAGCTCCTTCCTCATGCTGTGCTGATCCCCAACCATAAAATTACTTTGTTGCTACTTCATAATAGTTATTTTGCTTCTGTTACAAATTTTAATGTAAATATTTGACATTCAGGATATCTGATATGTGACCCCACCCAAAGGGGTCCTATCCACAAGTTGAGAACCACTGCAGTAGAAGGTTCAAGGTTGTGTCTGGCAAGTGTGTGACCCAACAGCATGGACAGCCCCGCACAGCACACTTAAGATACCAAACACTGACTTCTTCCATACTGGCCCCAAAGCATTATCCTTGGCCGTCAACTGAGCTCTCTCACGGGCGTTGTAGATGACAAACCGCTGCTTTTACTGATTTACTGTGACACACGAGTGTTGTATCATATACCACAGGAAAACACAAGACGTTAATAACGAAGGTGTGAAAAGAAAATTTGCATGTGTGCCGTCTGTGTGTCTGGTATAGTAGGCAAGCTTACCAACATACAGAATATGCACGTAACAAAATTGTACATGGAGTGGTCTCTTCTTATAACGCTTCAAAGAAGGAAGAACGCAGACAGCATTCTCGGACCACAAAGCGATAGAACTAGAAATCCCTAATAAGCTCCCGAGGACACTACCCCAAGCAGCTCCAGATTTTACATTTTCTTTTCTCTGACTCAAGGAAACTAAAATATAAATGAGGGGCTGCAGAGATAGTTTAGCAGTTAAGAGCACTTGTTGCTCTTCCAGAGGACCCAGGTTCAGTTCCCAAAGCTCACACTGGGTAACTCCTGTTCCACTAGACACGACATGTTCCTCCGTCCTCCGCAGGCGTGTAAGATCATCTTAATATCAGTAACATCAACCTAAACCAGGCTGGTGTAGGAGTTCCTGCTGTTTGTGTGTTGCTTTCATTGGTTGATGAATAAAGAAACTGCCTAGGCTTAGTTGATAGGGCCGAATTTAGGTAGGTAGAGAAGACAGAACTGAATGCTGGGAGGAAGAAAGCAGAGTCAAAGAGAAGCCATGGATCCTCCGCCTCAGACAAACGCTGGTTAGAATCTTGCCGGTAAGCCACAGCCACATGGCGATACATAGATTAATAGAAATGGGCTAAATCAAGATGTGAGAGTTAGCCAATAAGAAGTTAGAGCTAATGGGCCAAGCAGTGTTTAAATTAATACAGTTTCTGTATGGTTATTTTGGGTGTAAGCTAGCCGAGCAGCCGGGACGAATAAGCGTGCCCTCTCCTTACAACACCAGGCTGAACAAAAGAAAAAAATCACTAAATATTAAATCAAAATATTAAAGAAAATGTTAATAGATGGAACCCAGAAGCATCAAAATCCATATGCAGCACAGCCCATTGACTCAGAGAACCTGAGAATCTGTCCCGACTGTTGCCCACATGTCCAATGCAACCATGGGAAGGTTTGTTTTTATGTGTCATGGTGATTCTGAGAGTGAGGAAAGCTAGGGATGACAGAGAAAGCCTCCATATTTCAAACAGTTTATGAACAGACAGGCTGGCCAATGAAGACAAGTAGAAAATACATATAATCCAAAATAATTTTTTATCATAATGAGAATGGTAACAAGAATGAGTGCAGAATAAAAAGATACTTCGTAAACTTATAAGGAATAAGTAATCTTCCCCTTACTCATTGCATCAGGAAAACATTACGAACGAACCAATAGTAGAAGTTTACAAAATAAAACCACTAGCTTCATCGAGAAACAGGGTAGTATTTTCTTGTAACCTTGGAGTAGGGAAAGCATTTCTGCATTGATACAATTTATCAACCTTTACAAATACTTTGATAAATTCAAACATGTAAAATTCAAATGCCTAGTCCATGCCAGAAACAGTCGGAAAATTGAAAACCTAAAAGAAATATTGTCACATGCCACAAAGGATTAGTTTCCTTAGCTATAGCTACATAGATTCTGTAGATTCTGAGAAATGCATTAAAAATCCTGTAGACAACCATGCCGAGAATATGAACAGTTACAACAAAGAAAAATCAAAGACATAAAATGTAACATATGGAAAATGCTTGCCATCTCTAAGCTAAGAGAATGAGTCAAATTCGCAGTGAGAGGAGGCAGCAGAGGAAAGATCCAGATGTTTCACATGACGTGCTGCCTGGAAAGGCTGTGGGAAACAGCTGCTCTCGTGTTTCTGGCGGGTGCCTAGACCCCTCGCCACTCCTGCAGGGCACTTGGAGGTCTACGGAAGTTAGAAATGCGTATTTCTTTGGGCCTTGGGTTTCCATCTGGAGAGTTATTCTACACAAAGACTCATATAAATGGAAAAAGATGTGTGAGAGGAGAGAATCGAAGGCAACATTGTTTTAAAAGTGAAAGAGAGTACATCTTAGTTACCTTCCATAATGAACTGTTGATTTACAAATCATGATTGTGGTGCTCTGAAAGAAAGTGACCTCCATAGGGAGTGGCACTATTAGATGTGGCCTGGTGGAAGAAATGTGTCCCTGTCGGGGTGGAGTTTGAGGTCTCCTATGCTCAGGCTATGCCCAGTGTCAGGCTCCTGCTCTCTGCAGATCAAGATGTAGAACTCCCAGCTCCTTCTCCAGCACCATGTCTGCCTGCATGCTACCCACCATGATGATAATGGACTGAACCTCTGAACCATAAGCTCGTCCCTGTTAAATGTTTCCCGTCTAAGGGTTGCCTTAGTCATGGTGTCTCTTCACAGCAATAGAACCCCTGACTAAGACAGTGCCGAACCTAAACTAGAGAATGATACGCAGATAGAGTGAATGAGAGACGACTTGTGGACTGATGTCGGGAGACTCGGTGGGAAGAAGGAGCGGTGTGTAGAAGAGTATATGCGAGGAGGGCCGAGGAGGCAGACGGTTCAGTAGGGAAAACATTTGCTGTGCCAGCATGGGGATCCGAGTTTGGACCCCTAGAACCCATATAAATACCAGGTATGTGTGGCAGCCTGCCTGGAATCCCAACACTTGGTAGGCAGAAACAGGGAAATCCTGAAACAATCTCCCTAGCTTAACTAGACAAATCAGCAAATTCTGGGTTTAAGTGAGGGACCCCACCTTAATATAGACTATAGAGGGCAATCAAAGACGATTCCAGGTGTCAGCCTCTGGCCTACATGCACTTGTTAGGGATGTGGTCCCTGGTAGGTTTACCATACTCCAGTGGATGGTTTTACCCCTGTGTATGTATGGGCAATTATTCTTAGCAGGTTATTTTTAAAAAGGATATGAAGTTGGAAGGGAGATGTGAGGAGAGATCTGGAAAGAGTTGGAAGAAGGGGGAGGTGAATATGATCAAAATGTATTGTATACTTGAATAACATTCTTAATAAATAGAAGTGTAAATTAACATCTTACTTTTCTATTCCCATGACAAAACACCATGACCAAGGCAACTTCTAAAAGAAACCATTTAATTCAGAACACATAGTTCCAGAGGGCAAGAGTCCATGACCTTCCTGATGCTGAACAGGGCATGGTGCTGGAGCAATGGCTGAGAGCTTACATCTCAACCACAAGCACAAGGCAGAAAGAGAAAGAGCTAACTAACGGTGTGGGCTTTTAATTCTTTAAACCACACCCCACCCCAGTGACAAACCTCCTCCAGCAAGGCCAAACCTCCTGATCGTTCCTAACAAATTTGACCAACTGGGACCAAGCATTCAAATCTATGAACCTATGGGCACCATTCTCATTCAAACCACCACAAACAGTCAAATTATTCTGAATCAAGTCTTGAAAATACCTAGCAATATGAAGTCTGAAAATTCAGTGTGTACATGTGTATGCAAGATTCTTACAAGGAAGCTTATCACCCCAGTGTTCTGAACAGTAAGAAGCTGGAAACAACTGGAATATTTATAAACACTGAATGGATTTTATATATGCATACAAAGAAATATTAAGTAATATGGTGATTCTAAATGTATACATATGAATGATTTTTTAAATCATAAGAATCCAAAGTCTTGGATGGTGGCTCATACCTATTATCCCAGTACCTGGAAGGTTGAGGCAGGAGGATTGCCTCAAGTTTGAGTCCAACCTGGGCTACACGTTGAGGCTTTGTCTCAAAAATAAGCAAATATCAATGTATATGATCATCTTTATGTCAAGTGGTAAAATTATTTATGCACACATATAGATGATAAACATACAAATAGATGGAAATGAGAATGCATCCATCTTTGGGACTGCCTTTAGTGAATGTAGGGGGAATGATGGAGTGGGCTCCAGCTGTGCAATTTTAGACCCTTCAGAAATGTCAGGGCAGCGAGCACAGTGGCACGCACATGCCTGTAATCCGGACTTGGGAGCTAGAGGAAGGAATATCACAAATTAAAGATTAGTCTCAGTTATGAGGTGAGTTTGAGGCTAGCCTGGGCTACGTGAGGTGCTATCTCAAACAAAGGAAAACAGAAAACTGAAAAAAAAATCCTCAGGGTCAAGTTTTTAACATGGCATCAGTGTGGCAGGCATGTGGGCTATTCCATAACTCTTTGGTCTTGTCTTCAGCAAGATGAGACCTTCCAATTACAGGATCTCTTGCGCCAGACATACACAGTCCTGGGATTTGGATCATGTGACCTATATCATCTTGCTTATTGCAAATCTGCTCCCAGCTTTCCCTCCTTTAATTTTCCAGGGTGGAGCTATTGATTTTCTGAGCTTTCTTTAACAAGCAGACCTGTCTAGGTTCTACCCACATCCTCATCCGAGGTCAAGTCTTGGTTCCCCATCTTCCACATGGCCCCCTAGTTTAGAGTGGGTCTTCTCTGCAACCTGGATCATTGCTGACATGGATTTTTTTTTTTATGTACCAAACTGACTCTCATTCACATTTCTAGCTTCTCAGCATCTGAGGGCAGCACAGAATGACACACTTCCTCTCCAGGTCCGGGTTTGACTCTTCATTTCCCCGCAGTTACCCTGTGCTGACAGTTGGAAACTTAGACTCTCCGCTGTTTTGATTTGATTTGACCTAAATGAGCAGTTTTGATCTGAATTTAATATTTTAACCACACACTCTCCTCTTTGTTCCTAAAGACTAAAGAAACCAGCCCTGAAGACTTCTCTATATTTGTGTTTTTTATGAGTGTAAGCGGAGGTCACAAGGTGAGAGGCTCTGTTGTGCAAAGGTCATATGGCGGTGGCGGTGTTCTCAAACTGTGGGTATGACCCCTGTGGGTCTAATAACCCTTGCACAGGGGTTATCTAAGACCATCAGAAGACACAGATATTTACATTACAATTCATAACAGCACCACAATTACAGTTATGAAGTAGCAACGAAAATAATTGTATGGTTGGAGTCACCAGAACATGAGGAACTGTATTAAAGGGTCAACATTAGGCAGGTTGGGAACCACTGTCATATGGGTGCCTCAGATACAGACTCCACTGAGAAAATGCATGTTGAATGAAAGAGTCTGAAGTCAAGACTATTTTAAGAGAAACACATTTCTAAAATCACAATGACAGTCCATGAGCAGGTGATCTTATGCAAATATGCCTGATTTTTTACTTAGAGAAATGTGCAGTGGGAGTGAGTTTGCAATGATATTTTAAGATCAGAAAGACTAGGAATACATCTTTTTGAAGGACTACAGTCTTCATAATAGACTTCTCAGCATTCCTAGAAATGTTCACGGGTTATTTCTGGACACACTGAATTACCTCTTGCCTCAGTAGGCGTTCCGTCTGGTTTCTTGTAATGTTCTTATGATACCATCTGGAAAAGTAACAAAGAACACATTTTAACTTTGTGGGACTTTTTCTTCAAGAAAAAATACTCTAATCCCTTCGTCTTAAAGTCTTCATTTAGAATTTAGTTTAGAAAGCTCTAGGTGAAATTCAGATAAATAACAATGTTCTATCATGTTGCCAATTTACCAAGGTTAATACATTTTTTTTTCTCATTTCAAGCCATTCTATAGTTCGTTCCACCACAGCTCACATCACCCTTCTGGTCCACAGAGTATTTATATATAACTTTGCATGATTTAACATTGTATAAAATTCCATGAAAAAATATGAAGTTAAGACATTACCTTCAGGGACTGGACAGATGGCTCAGCGGTTAAGAGCACTGGCTGCTCTTCCAGCCAACCTAGATTCAATTCCCAGCACCCACATGACAGCTCACAACTGTCTATAACTCCAGCTCCAGGGGATCTGACACCCCCACACCAACGCACATAAGATTAAATAAATAAATTATTTTTAAAAAATAAGGTATCTTTAACACATTCTTAGTTCTGTGAACAAACTAAAATACAGTCATTTCCATATCTTTATTTCCCCTCAGGAAGTTCCTGTCTGCGTGCTTTTAGAGATGTTAGGTCCCTTTCCAAAGTGAAATCCATCCTGACTTATTTAATTCTCCTTAATACATTCCCGCTACCCCCAATAGTACTTGACAGAGTTTATGAACAGGGACAGTCCACCCACAATCCTGACCCAACTGCCTCTCTTGTCTTCTCCCTCACCACAGTCTCCCCTGCTTCAGTAAGCCACACTGGGATTCTTTCTTTTCTGATTGTAGTAAGCACCCTTCCACCTTCAATCCCTGTTTTCTCTGCATTCAACATGTCATTAGGCGACCAGACGACACATAGTACGTATACTTAAATAACACTATGTGGCAAACATGTTGTTTGATATGACCAGGCTTAAGCGGTAGTGTACAGAAAAGAGGAAAACTGTCAAACAAGGAAGACAGAAAGGTCGAGAAACTTACAACTTCAAAACAGCATATTAACAAAGAGCTTTAAACGTAACCGAATATGGCTGGAAATACTGCTTTGTGGAGAGAAAAAGTCAACATTAAACATGAACTGAGTCACTATGGATGACCAGAGGTGGCTAACTGAAACTCCTGAAAGGATGGAGTCTCCCAGTACGTGGATTTCCCCTACCAAGTCTGCCTCAGAATCTGGATGGTCGGCTACCTAAACCACTAATTTAATGTCATTAAAATGAAAAATAAATCATAGAAAAGATGAACCATAGACAACAGGAAGTGATGGTGATGGATTTTAGACAAAGTAGTTAGCCACTCAAGGTGTGGCGGGGAAGATGTAACAGTGAACACCACTTGGGACTTTTAAAGGAATCCTGTAATATTAGAGGAATTTCAGTATGGCTCTGGGACTTCTTAAAGAAAGAAGAGACCCATCTCTTCAGAAGTGAGACAGTGTTAAAGGCACAGGGACAAACACGGACAGGTCGCCACTGCTCAGGCTGTAAGGTCTGCGTGTTAAAGGAAAATAATGAAGGAAGTTCACTGAAATCAGCTGAACCTGTAAAAGGCCAAGGCTGTAAAGTGATACTCAGATTGAGAGGAGTTCACATAAATTGCATTCTTCAAGAATATTTCCCACCTGCTACGGTGTTGGTGCTAATATTAGTATTTTATGCTTGTTTATCATAGTGATAAACAGCAAAAGTGAACACATTCATTTCGTTTAAATCTGACTTTGAAATTCATCCACATGGAAATATCATAAGAATGATTTCAAAGTAGGTACCAAAGAGCCAGGTAGAAGAAGTCTGTGACAAAGTCAGGATCACTCAGGGACTCTTTCCTTTCTAAACAATGAAGAGGTTCAATGAGGGTAACACGAGATTGGGAGCAGCGGTTCAGAATTGCATCCATTTAAATCATGGGCTAAAAGTCAGAAGGGCTTTTACAAAACAAGTTTCATTTTCCCTTGCTGAGTTTATTTTTGGCCCAGAATTGCAGGTTACAACCCTGTCTCCTGGAAGTTGGGGCAACAGGAACCGTATGTCGCTGGTGCAGTCCATTCACAATCAGGAGAGAGGGGAAGGAATTGAGGCTACACACTACACCTCTGCTTGCCTTCTCCACTCTTTGTTTCCAGAACTACTTGGGATTTTTAATAAAAATCACTTTGCTGTAATGAATTTACAAATGAGAACACCATGCAACTAGACTTGTGATGGCCATTCTATTGCTGGTTGTCAACTCGACTACATCTGAAATTAACTAAAACCCAAAAATGGCGGGGCATACCTGTGAGGAATTTTCCCCCCTTAATTAAATATTTTGAAGTGGGAAGAGCCACTTCTAATCTGGATCTTTTGAGGTGGAAGATTCACTCTCAATCTGGGCCACGCCTTCTTTTGGCAGCCTATCTAAGGGAAATGGTGGAAGGAAGCGCTTTGCCTGCTTGCCCTCGCTCTCCCTAGCAAGCTCATTCCTTCACTGGCATTAGAGCCTATTTCTACAGGATTCCAGCATCCAATGAAGACTGAGACATCCAGCTTCATAGACTGAACACTACATGATGCTTGGACCTTCCATTGGCAGACAGCCATTGTTGGACTAGCTGGACCACATCCTGTAAGCCATTCTAATAAATTCCCTTACTATAATACATATAGGAGATTCATTCTATTAGTTCTGTTCCTCTAAAGAATCCTAACTAATATACCACTCAAATAATTGCCTGCTTTTATACAGTTAAGGATTTCCTGCCCAGGGAATGGTGCCAGCCGCAGTGGGTGGGTCTTCCCACTCAGTTAAGGCAATCAAAACAATCCCCCATAGATGTGCCCACAGGCCAACCTAATTAAGTCAACCCCTCATTGGGACTCTTCCCAGGTGATCATAGATTGCATCAAGTTGACAATTAAAACTACCACAGACTGTTATCTCTCATATCTAGACACCTTATATTAAACTAATACCAAACAATGTGAAATAAGAGTTGACAATTAAAACATAACATAGCATATGAAACTGCAGTTCAGCAGAAACAGGCTGTGTGTGTATTACATAAGTCTTTGAGTGGCACACGCATGCACGCACGCATGTGCACACATACAGCCTTTAGCATTCTGGTGAGATTGGGTGCATTTAGGGTATGGCCATAGACATCTCTTAGGTTTCTAAGTAATAGGTAGCCCTGTTGTGTGCTTCATTTTCTGATCCAGAAACTCCATTACATCTGAAAAGGCAAATTTGCTTCCCTTAGTAGGTGACTGGGTAGCCCTAGGAGATGAAGGATTCAGTACAGAGGAAAGAAAGAGAAGTCGAGTTCACCTCCCAGGTAAAGTTGTCAACACATTTGCTAATTTAAATGTTTACAAATGTAAGAAGATATAGTATATTCTGCTTTTCCTGATTTCAAATGTATGATTAATTTTAAACTTGTTGTTTGAAGTAAAAGAGAATTTGACTAATTTGCAAATATTTGCACAGTTAGAACTTAACTTCCCACATGATTTAAATGTTGAACTTTCCAGCCTCATTTGAAGGACTTCCACGGGACTTAATACACCTGTAAATTTGCTCAGCTAATTATGTGAAAAACTTAAACCATGACTGACTATACCCAGTTTGTTAATGCAAATCAGATGTATCAGGAAACCTCATTGACTGGCCTGATAAATAGGATTAAATATTGAAGTATATTTAGTAGGTAGAATTTGAATTACAGTGATTCTTCTTATTTATTTAAATTTATGAATAATTTATTAAGACCCGCCTGTTGAGTTTGAAAGATTACTGAAAACTGTGATAGTAGAACAGACTATTGGTAATTTAGGTGTGTGTTTAGCACCAAAGCAGCCATCAATCTTTCTACACACCAATGTTCCCCTGAAATAACAGAGGTTCCCCCATCACCTTTCAAACTGCCTCCTGCCACCCTGAGAGCTCTTGTCACGTTCTGATAGACATCGTCCCTATACCAACTCTTCCACCTACACCCGTCACTTCCCCCGTTTTCTCCTGTGATTCCTATACTACTCTTTAGAATAACAATTTAGTACTATAATTTAGAAAAGTATATTTGTTTTTAAATCTAGAATTGTTTAAAGTCCCTTTTCTCCACTACTTATAAGCTCCATTAAGGCAAGGAAGGTTCCGTGTGGTCTAAATTGTAGCCTCAGGGCTTAAAGAGGCTGATATCAGATACATTAATGGGATTGAACACGTAATGGGATCCAGGTGCTGAAGTAACAAAGGCATGTCGATCACCCGTAAAACTAGATCGGGTGGGCCAAACTCCAAAGGACTTCCCCATTACCGTCATATGTTTACTATGTTCCACATGTACCCACTCTTTGGAGCATTTGGAGGCAGTAGGCAGTGTTGCTCCTGCACTCGCATCTCCACCTATGGCGGTCCTTTTGTATAGTCATCATAAAAGTGGATGGTGCGTACTAAGTGACCCATATGTTTTAGTGATTAGTGATGGTAACTATTACATTCCTATTTCAATGCAGTTGTTTACAAAGAAATAAAATTTAGTGAGTAGTCCTAAGATTTGAATCACTAAAAAGCTTGATTTTAAAATGTACGTAACTCAGAGTCCAAAGAAATGAAGTGGAAATTCTGTTTTGTTGGGTTTTCTTGGGGTGGGGGGGGGAGCATTGAGGCAGGGATTTTCTGTGTAGCCCTAGATGTCCTGGAGGCTGGCCTCAAACTCACAGAAATCCACCTGCCTCTGCCTCCTGAGTGCTGGAATTAAAGGTGTGAGCCTGACACCAGAGCTGTCTGATTTAGAGGATCCGATCTCTGCAATACAAACCTTAAACCAGAGTCTTGGCTTAGTCTAAACAAAGGAAGCAATGAGCAAATGAGCTATGACTGAAAGAAACGAAAGTAACATAGCTGAGAGTCTGTTCAGTAACCACCAGACTCTCGTCACACAGGTCACACATGTCTGCTTTGATCTTCTGGAAAATCTGAACTTGAACAAAGATACGAAAAAAGTCCTGTTTTTTCTAATTATTCTGGGTTGGTTTTCATACACAATCTCCTCTAAGCTAGGCTTCTTTTTCTGGTCAGCTTCAGCACAGGGGAGCAGCGAGACCCTATGGGGCAGGCTGGAGTGAGTGACCATAAGCGGACGTGAAACTGTTTTCTAAGGGAGATGGCTCAGTCCCCTGAATGGGGTGGAGAGTGGAGAGTGGAATCTCGGGCCAAAGAGTCAGGTCAACAGAAAGAACATTTCAGGCAGAAATGAGTGAAGGCGCTTTGTGATGGAGCTGAAGAGCATGGTGGGAAGGAGGAAGAGACAGCCAACAGTCTGAGAAAGCCATGTTAGATGTTAGCCATGTTAGATGGGCCACATGCTCTATGATCATCTTCATCTGTGAAGGCCTGCACTATTCACCAAAACTTTCAAAATTGGAATCATTTTAGAGAAAGATGTACTGAATCTTGCCTAAAGTCGTGGCGAGGCACGACTATGCATATTGCAATGCATATGTTGGAAGCATATGCTAATTGCAAGTTAAGTCCGAGGGAGGAGGGGGCATGCATTCAAGCTGTCCAGGTCAAGCACTTTGGGCCTATAACTTAATCTGCTGGCCTTACTTTTTCATCTGAAGAGCGAGGATCTACGAAGCCATTGCTCAGACCTTCCTATTCCAAAGCTATAATGGCTATCAAAAAGGAATGAAGCCTTTTAAAGCATAAATTGGATAAGCAGACTTAAAGATTTTGCAAACGGTATAATCAGCCTCCCTCTTGTCCTCAGGTATTTCTAAAAAGCATCAAAACCGGAGCCAGCATCTGAAATTGGCCTGTGCCGACTGTCGGATCGCAATCTGTCATTTTGAAAAGCAAACGTTCCATGTAGGACATGCAGTACAACACGTGTATCAGTGTCTCTACAGCGTGGTTGTGCCAAACCAAATAAACACAAGCTTAAGGCGGATTCTCAGAAGCAGCCGAGCTAAGAATTGGAGGTCTCTCTATTGCTAGGGCTACCGAATGTGTTAGTTTCCTTTTCTTTTACAAACCTGAAAACTGTCTATACTTCAAAGTTCCCAGCAAGTCCCTGATTGTCATAGGTTAATCACAGTGCAGGCTTGGGAGGGGGCACTTACTCATATATTTCTAAATTGGTGACTCTGTTTTCTGTCACGTAGTTGCTTGGGATTAAGCCTTCATTCCTACAACACAAAACAATACAAAACCCATCTTGAGTTTGTAATATTGAGGTTTGTAACATTACCATGACATGTCTATAATTACTTAAACCCCAAAGATGTAGGGGAGAAATCAAAAGCATTTTACTCATTAAACTGTTAAAAGAATAAAAATGTTTTTCATTTCCAACTCCACAAAAATTTCTACACAGTCAATACTAAGATCCTGACTTACAAATGAGCTATTTTAAGAGATTTTATGACCCTATTTCCTTTTCTTCCCTTCCTTCCTTCCTGTCTGCTTTCCTTCCTTCCTCCATCTATCCATTCATCCATCCATCCTTCCTTCCTTTCTTCCTTCTTTCTCTTTTGAAATAATCTCCCCATGTAGGTTAGGCTAACCTCAAATCCCAGGTTCTCCTGTGTCACCTCAAGAGTTGCAGGGTTGCAGGCTGGTGCCATCATGCCCAGCTCTGCTATGTATTGTCAAAGGAAAGTGGATGCAGCTCTGAGTTTCCACTCAACTGCATTGTTCAGTGGAAAGAGCATGGGCAAGCTGAGGGCTGTGCCATTGGCTTCACGGTAGATGGACTTTTGAAAGATTTCGGATTTAGAAAAGAAGCTTTTTATTTTATAGTTAAATGTATAGCGTTTATAAAACACTGCCAAAATTTTGTTATATTCTGTCAGTATTGGGTCAAAAGGGTACCCTTTTTCTCCTCAAAAGGGCAAGCCAATTGACTCGTCCAAAATTGAGTCTGGGCCCAGTTCAACCTCGACTATGGGAGGATTTCTTGTGGTTAGATAAAAGCTAGCATTCTCAGGAACTAATGAAACTGGTTCCCACCTGTCATTTCCCCTACCTCTGGCAGAAGTGGCCACCTGTAATTGCTATCAAAGTCCACAGCTGCCTCCAGGGTTCCTCGGGATTCCAAACACCTGCTACACATGTCAAGGTCCACACCTGGACACTTGCATCCTGGGCCTTCTTACTTCCCCAGGATTCCTTCCTCCAAGATGCCTATTTGTTCTCTATAATATCAAGGTTTCCTCCTATCCCACTACTTTCATTATACTATCTATCTATCTATCTATCTATCTATCTATCTATCTATCTATCTATCTATCTATCTATCTATCTATCTATCCACCCATCCATCTATCTATATATCCATCTGTCTATCTCATCTATCTATTTATATCATCTATCTATCATTTATCTGCCTATTTATCTAATCAATCTATCATCTTTCGCTAGCTACTTACTTTCTCTTTTTCTCTTTCTCTAACTATGCTATATTCTCTCTCTCCCTCCCTCCCTCCCTCTCTCTCTGTCTCTGTCTCTGTCTCTGTCTCTCTCTCTCTCTCTCTCTCTCTCTCTCTCTCTCTCTCGCTGTCTTGTTATGTCCACTATTTTCCCCCACTTCCCTAGCCCTGGCCATCTCCAGTCTGCTGACCTTGTTCAGTCTGCTTCCTTTTCTCTCTGCTCTCTTTCACATTGACAATAAATGCTTTAAACATATCACAGAGTGGTCATGTTGACAGTTTCTTTACTTACCCCCACCCCTCACATACAGTCACGACTTCCAACTAGTCTCTTTCCTGCACCTAACTCCACTGTTCACTTAGTGATTCTTTTCAATGAGCTATGCTCACATGTTGAAATATGTGGTGTTGTTCATAGACTTAATTTACAGAGAAGTTATCACACTTCAAGGCTTGTTCTACAACTTACTTTCAGTTTGTCGGTAATGCATCTTGGTTGTCTTTTGGTCATTTCAAAAGGAGGTAAAAGGACAGGAAAAAGAGAACTCCTGGCCTCCCCACTGACATGTGTCATATCTGCAGCTTCCGTATCTAGGGCAGGATGACTATTTGCTAGGCATTAGGAACTTCCCCACTTGAACCCCACCTTATAGGAATAGTCTGACTTGAGTCCAAGACCGTGCTCAAAGATTGCTTTACAGCATTGCTTATAATGGAGGAGGGGCCAAACTAAAATGTGTATACATTGTAGAAATTTAAAGTAATGGACCTTAGTAGTTCCTACTTTTTTATTGATATTTATTGAGCTCTACAGTTTTCTGTTCCCCTCCCTGCGTCTCCCCTCCCCTTCAACCCACCCCCAAAGTCCCCATGTTCCCAGTTTACTCAGGAGATCTTGTCTTTTTCTACTTCCCATGTAGATTAGATCTATGTATGTCTCTCTTAGTGTCCTCATTGTTGTCTAAATTCTCTGGGATTGTGATTTGTGACTACGTTTAGCTTAGTCACTATGATATCAATTGATTGTTATAAGTCTTCCTTGATAGATTTCTACTCTACACACTGAAACAGAATCTCTCAATGATTTTTGAGTTCCTCAGGTCTACTAGTCTAGCTAGCCAGCTAGCTCCAGGAGTTCCCTCCTTGGCCTCTCTCTAGTGCTTGGGGTTACAGGAGGCCCACCAGGCTCGCTAGACTTCGATGTGTGTTCTAGGGATCCAGATTCTGGTCCCCACCTTTGTGGGACAAGCACTCTATGGAGTAAAGCCAACTCCCCAGTCCTTATTTATTATTCCTATTCTACAAGTCAACCCTTAGACAGTGATCTGCAGGACACACAGGGTCGAGTGGTAGCATGGGTGCGGGGGCAGGGGCGTTGTGGAGGCAGGGATACAATCACCTGCCCAGAGTCACTGTATTCTACTGTTCTCTTACAAACGGGGATGCAGAGACTGTTTTTTTTTTTCCCATGCGGAGCAAAGAGTTTTAAGATCATGGGGGTGATGACCTACTATGCAGGGTCTCCCCTTGCATCCTGAAGCCTACAGAGGTTGAGGAAAGATTAATAAGGATTCAACCATCATCTTACCCCAGACGGTCCCTGGCCCTCCACCAGTGAGGATCACACCTCTCCAATATCAGGTATTCCTCTGCTCTCTTTAGTGCCAAATTGCAGGGCTCCCGGGGCATGAAATCATAGAGAGCCTTAACCCGGATCCTCTCTTCAGCAAGCACTGAGAGCGGGAGGGGAGGCAGCGGCTTGCGTTTTGAGGGTTGCGCCCCTCCTCTGTTGGACTGTAAAAAGAATTATCGTTTTAGTCATTTGTACCAAAAAAGAAAAACAAAAACAAAAACAAAACAAAAACCAACACCAGGACATATGCATCTGCCTCCATGTCGCTTTACTACCCAGCTCCACCAGTCCACCCAGGCAGAAGCCAGGCACGTGTGCTGCAAATGACTGGCGGCCACACAGCATCAGGGGACTGGGACACACTTGTCATTTTGTGACTTTTTGAAATCACAGATTCTCTCGACAGCATAGCTTTGGAGTTTCGTACGTCGTGGTTCTCAAAGGATGACTTACCCTGAAACAGTTTCATTTGGCTTTAGTGATTGTTCGCCTGTGAAAAGAGAAGCCCACACCCTCCCCACCTCCCGCCCTTCCCTGTGCTATAAGCTTGTGTCTTGGAGGAGTGTTCCACCCTCCCCAGGCTGCCATCTCCCCTCATCTGGAATTTAACCCTCAACCCAAGATGGCAGGAGCCACAGTGTCTTTTCCCACTGGTCACTGTCTTGTTTCAAACTCTATCTTTAAGTCTAGCAGAGTAGACTAGACTTAACTGGATTTCCCCCTCACTTTCTTTTAGAACACTTATTGAGCTCTTACTGTGTACCGATCCTGATTTTAAGTTTTAGGCCTGGCCACAGCAGGACCTTCCCAGGGAGCTTGCCTGTGGGGGGACTCCCTGAGGAAATAATACTCACTTGCTTCTTGCTCTTCAGCTTGTCGAGCCATGGCCTGTGACGTTGGGAACAATTTTCTGCAGGTTCTTCATTTTTGCTGAGGCTTATCTGTGTTCTTACTTGCCTAGCATCAAAAAGCAATCATTTTACAAACAGTTGTTCATAATGAGCGTATTCCCGAGTCCTTCAGAGTCTTTCAGAGATAAAGCAATCCGTGTACCCTTTTCTGAGAAAGATAACTTTCTAGTTCTAACTCCTCGAGCAGATTCTGAACTACTACTCTAAGGATTTTGGTTTCTGCACCCAGAGGTCAGAAAAGAGAAGTGAATTCAGAGTTGTTTCAAAATAAAGTTGCAAGAATCTGTCACGTGCCCCGAGTCCAATACTTTTGAGAGGTCTAAAACTCTAGTCAATCCAACAAACACTCTGAGTCAGGCAGTGTGCAAAGCGCTTTCCAGTTCGTCCCTGTCACCTCTGGTTGCACAAGTACAGGCTGAATGATAAAGAACACAAATGTAGTCAGGCAATGGTGGCCCACGTCTTCAATCCCAGCATTCGGGAGGCAGAAGCGGGCAGAAGAACTCTCTCTGAGTTCACAGAGCAAGTTCCAGGGCAGTCAGAGCTGTTACACAGAGAAACTGAGTCTTAGGGGGTGGGGGAACACGTATGCACCCTAACTCCACTGTTTCACACTGTAGCCTCAGACAAAGCAAAACCACCTCTCTGCGCCTTGGTTTTCCTCATCTATAAAGCAAGGATTATAAAGGAAAACGCCGTGGGAGGCTTTGAGAGCTATGTGAGGGAACAAAAGCAAACCTTTAGAACAGCGCTTATCTAATGGCTGAGACGTGATGCCTTGAGCTAATTTTACACAGTCACGCACCAAAGCAAGACTTGCGTAGCGAGTGTTATCATTAATATAGGATTCTCATGCTTAAGGGGGAAAATTACTGAGGGGAACACAGACATACAACAAGCAAACAAACAAATGAGGGCAGAACCATGCCACATTCTGTGGGAACATACAGAAGTGAGTGTGTGCAGGGCGGTGCAGGATGGGGGGGGATGGAGCACCAGCGCACCCCTACAACTTGACTTAAGTCTTTAAGAAATCGAGCCGAGCTGATCAACAGGGACCCAATGGGAGAAAGCGTCCCAGACAGAAAGCAAAGAGACGCAGACGAGAGACTCAACAGACAGTCAAGACACTGCAATAACCCGTTTCCCTGAAACTGCCCACCTGCCGGCCGACTCACCTCTCCTGCATGGAACAGCAGCAACAGCAGCAGAGAACAGACTGGAAGGTGCTATCTGAAGAGGAGATCATGGTCACTGTTATAAAGCCGTGGGTCCATGACAGGGGGTAGCTGAAGCTGACTGGGCCCCGGATAAGAGCGGGGAAATCATGACTATTCAGAAACAAAGGAACATCATAACCCTCTTTAGCAGTGGAGACCAAAAAAAAAAAAAAACCTGTCACCAAAAGAAAAGTTACTGGCACCCTGACCAGTGTGGTTTCCCTTCTCAGGCTCTTCTTTCTGGCCTGGTTTCTGCATTTCCTTTGTCATGAGTGATCAGGGGTCAGTATATTCTATTGCTTTTGTCACAGCCAGTGTTGGCCATCAGTATAGAAGAATGGGTTTCCGGAAACAGTGAAGTTTGAAGTTAGGACCACCACAGTTTTTTTTGAAAGCTTTTAGAATGAAAACTAAGCTCTCCACTTCACCACAGAGAGCTGGTAAACTTAACCTTTGTCTGATTTTAAATTAGACCACCAATTTATTTTTCCTAGTTGCTGATTAACAAGACAACTAGTTTGCCACTGCCCATGAACCCATGTCTGTTAACGGCTCAGACTAACTCTTTCCCTCGGTCAGCAATCTACCGGGCTCCCTGAAGTCTCGGGAGGCCTTTCTTTCAGTGTTAATTTCCAAGCTGCTTCTGAATGAGACACTTACACAGCAGCTATTTCTTGCCCGTAGGTACAGGCTTGCAATGCAAGCTCATCTTACTGCTTCTTGTGTGGTGATGAAGTAACCCTCACAGACACTAAACCATCACCCTCATTAAAGTAGCTGCTGGTGTCAACAGTGAACCCTTTGGGCCTGGTGTGTCTGCAAAGGTCTTCTTCAACATTGACATTGGGACCCTCAGATAGCAATGTTGGAGCTCACAGACCTCCTCCAGTGGCTGGTGCTCCAGAGGCTGGTGCTCCAGTGGTTAGCGCTCCAGAGGCCAGTGCCTCACCAACCGAAGGTCCAGGCCCCTTTAATGCTGCTGGCCCAGTGAGAAGAAAGTGGAAGCCTCGAATGAAGAACGTGATGACGCCATGGGCTTCGGTCTTTTTGACTACATGTCTTTTGAAACAAGAAGCTGGACTCCTAAAAGCCTGTGGGGACCAGTCCTCACTCTCAGCTGTGAGTTACTTTTCAAATAGAAAGTGCTCAGCAGCGGAGTTCAGAAACAACTCCAAATTCCTGGGATTTTTTCAAAAGTTCCGTGTGGACAGAACCTGATGCTGTTGCGTTCTTCCCAGGCCATGACCAGCGACAATTTGAAAAGTTCATAATTAGGTCGTTTCGATGAACCACATTTTCCCTGGCTCTCAATGCGACCAAATGAATTTTAGTTCTGGCTTTGAATCTGCCTCCTAGGCAGCACTAGGATAGCAGATACCACCCTAGGCAGGACTCCAACAGGGTGAAGCATTTGCTGGGTGTGGGATTTCACACCTTTAACTGTCTGGAGACGTTGGCAGGTAGATCTCTGAGTTCAAGGCCAACCTGATTTACATAGCAAGTTTCAGGCCTTAAAGAGACTCTATGTTTAAAAAAAATTTAAAGATTTGTGTGTGTGTGTGTGTGTGTGTGTGTCCCCAAGTCCAAGGAGCATAGAAGCTGGCATTGGATCTTCTGGAGCTGGAATACAGGCACTTATAATCCATACAACATGGGTGTTGGAGCCTGACTCTGGTCCTCTGTGAGCGTACCAAATGCTCTCAACTACTGAACCTTTTCTCCAGACCCCATAAAAAAAGCTGCTTAGAAAGGTATCAATCACAAAGGTATCAATCACAAAGGTATCAATCACAAAGGTATCAATCACAAAGGTATCAATCACAAAGCAATAGACAGGAGTAAAGGAGCCACAAAGATATGTGAGGCGCTACCTTTAACTGCCCTTTTCTGCCACTGTCTTTAAGCCTAAAAGGCCGAGGAGAACGAGAGAAAGCAAAGTGGAAGAGAGGTCACCTCGCTCCCAGCTTCTACGATCTGACGTTAAGGGAATCAGCTGGCTCCAAGCATTTCTTCCCCTACATTTTCCCACCGGCCTTTCCTCGGTGCGATTCAACCAGAAACCAGACGGTTTCAAATCACGCTGCTCGAACCCTTCCGTACTCCCCACACACCCTTGCCACGGTAGAAAGCAGGCTGAGAGGAAGGAGTAAGAAAAGAGATGGAGGTGGTGGAGCCATTATGAAGCTTGGCTACCATAGTTAACCCCTACCATATCTGTATTCACGCAGTTAGAGATTTGCATTTCTCTGACTTAGGCTCAGCCGTTGCACACTCACTGAACTGCTGACACGCTGGGTGTGCAGTTATGAACTCTGGTCTCCACCATGGGTTAAAGTCTAGTCCCAGACACACCCCTTAGCCGGCCCCATTGCTGTGTATGACTCGTTCTGACTTAGTTACTTTCTCTTTTCTTTTCCTGCAACAAAGAAGCATCTGAAGACTTAAAAATAAAATTTATTTTCTCATTCCTAAAGATCTTCAGTATGTCATGTGACTAAATGTTCAGATCCCAGTGCGTCTGTCAATTTTCATCAGCTTTGTATGACGTTTATATGAGCAAACTGTCAAAAAGAAAGAAAGAGAGACAGAGATGGACAGACGGACAGGCCTCTCCTCAGAGGGAAGTGACTTTAGCCCTTCAGAACTCCGTCTGCTTTGGAGGAATGAGTTCAACTGGCATGCTGACCCATTTACTACACAGTTGCTGTAGAGTCTCACGAGATCTGTGTCTATCGGTCCAGGAGACAAGTACGTATAGGTTAAACAAATGAGGAAAACAGGTCAATACGGGACTGCCTGCGGCAAAGTGCCACGTCCAAGTTTATTTAGAGGTATTCCGATTCAAACCTTTTACCGGCATTCCTCTCCCTGTATCTCCGCTTTCTCCTTCTCATTGGACCATTTCTGTCCATACAAACACACTGTCCATCCAGCCACTGTCGCTGAACAGAGGGCCCAGTAGCCATATTTCCTACACCAGTTTTACTCCATTAGTGGTCAAATGTGGACACGAATAGCCTACACTTGTTGCTTCTGATTGCTCTCCTATATTCTCTTTCTTCTGAAACACTGCTCTAAACATGGACACACACCATGAAATCCAGGGGTCAATTCCAAGCTGTCTCACATGACCTGTACTGTGGCACTATTTCTCCTATGCTTGCTCTAGGCTTCTTTATCTACCTCTCTGGCCTCTTCATCTTGGACAGCCTCCAAAGCCTTTGATCTGTTCTTGGTCTCATCCCCTCTTTGATGATTTCATTTCCTCCGGTGGCTTAAAAAGACTCATCAGTTCATGACCCACAGATGCACACATCCAGTCCAATTCTAATGCGCTCCAGCTGGACACAGCCAAACAAACCTTCAAATTCTCCATTTGGATGTCGAGTAATCACCTCGACTGGATGTTGAGATGAAAACTGAGCTCTTTTTCTTCCTCCCTTCCCCATCTTTCTCTACCCACCCTTATCCATCTCATCAAAAGTGGTCCTCTATCCCCAGTGGCCCAGGCCAATGACTTCTCTGTCGTCTTCAGCTCACCTCTTTCTCTCACACCTCAAGCCAATGTGGCAGGAAAGCACACGCCTTGAAAACAAAGTGAATTTAGCGACATGCATCTGTAACACTGGCACTCACGGGATTGAAGCAGCAGGACTGCCATGAGTTCAAAGCCAATATGAGCTACGTAGTAAATACAATGCAAGCCAGGGCTACATAGCAAGACCCTGACTTAAATGGTGTGTGTGTGTGTGTGTGTGTGTGTGTGTGTGCGTGCGTGTGTGTACACGCATGTGTACTCATGTGTGCGCACAGGCTTGTATCTCCAAGAATTTCAGTATTTCAGTTCTGGAGATGGATCGTGGTTAAGGTCGTACAACAATGTGATTGTATTTAATGCTACTGAAAATAGTTAAAACAGTGAATTTTCTTCAGAATATTGCTATAGCTTGCATCTTGACTATGCCACCAAAGTCTGGGAAGTGAAGGCCTGATTCTATCTATGGTATTGCTGAAATACGCTATAGGTGGAGAGGAGGGGACCTAGGAGGAAACTGGGCTATTGGGAGTGTATTCTTGAAATAGTTATTGGAAACTCAACCCCTCCTTTTCCTTTCTCTTTGCTTCTTGAAGCCGGGAGCCAAAAACTGCCCTCCCTCCTTTTAACTTCGTTTGCTAAGCTTTCTGATCCAGTAACAGAAAGATGACTAACATGCTTCCTCCCCATAGACAAATAACACCCCCACACAGACAGTCCCCCCACCCTGTCTCATCTGTAACTGCTATGGCCAAACCGCTGTTATCTCACCTGGCGGCTTCCTATTTGTACCCTGACTCCTCTACAGTGTGTTCTCAGCACAGTGGCCAGAGCAACCTCTTTTTGAACCCATCAGACCCTGTTACTCTTGGTCTGCAAACTCACTGGCTGTCCATCTCATTCAGAGTTGAAGTCACCACTCTCAGGGCAGCCTAGGAAACCCTCCATGATTGGCCTCCTTTGGTCCCTCACTTCTCCTCCAGGTTTCTGCTCACTTCCCTCCAGTCCCCAGCCCCCACTGGCTGCTTCTGCAGCACATCAGGCCAGCTGTGGGCGTGGACTCTAGGCTTTGGTTTAGCCTAAAGTGTCTTCCCTCAGGCTCGGCAGCATCAGGGCCTGGCAGTCCCTCCAAGCCTTTGCTCACATCTCGCCTTGAAGTATGTGTCTACTATTACTGCCAGCTGTGGCGTCAACCAGAAACTTCTACCTCTGCGCTGTCTTCTTTTCTTCCATTCATTCATTCTCTCCTTTTCACATACTATGCAATTTACTTTTTTCTTTTAATTTTCTGCCTTCCCTTTAGAAAGTAAACAGAGGTTTTTTGTTTTGTTTTGTTTTCTTTCTATTGAACTTATAGTTATTTCCCAAGAGACTAGAACAGTTCTTCAGAAATGTAAGTGGTAAATATTTTTGGATAAGTGAATGAGTGAATGTGTTTGGAGGAGCATCGAATTATAAGCTTGCTGAGAACATGTTTTGGGGCCAGTAAACTGTCTTTGGCAACTGAGTATGGATACAGAAGGAAACAGGGAGCTCTGAGGACACAGAGGATTGGGGTGTGAAGGTCTTTGAAGCAGAGGAGGCCCAGGCCTGAGGCCTTTCCTTCTTGTTGTGGTGGGTTGTGAACAGATAGTAAGAGGGACGATTAGAAAATTTAAGGTGTGTCTGACTGCGCTTATCCTAGAAACATAGGCGATGGTGTAGTCAGGTGTGCTAGGACCATGTCTGACTTCACTTTTAAAATCTGACCTAAAATATTTAATGTAATCAAAGCTAAGAATCGTCACTTTACATGGTTTCTGTATGTTCCTATTACCAAAATGTTTAAACTTTAAAAATCTATAAGCTAAAAGAAGACAAACCCAGAAAGTCAAACAAGGCTATGATTAGGTGGGCAGCCGTTCTAGGACTTTGTATATATATGATTTTTAGTGATGGATATGAGCAGGTTTTATTTCTTTAATTCATCTACCATCTTATGCTTTTATGATTCATCTTCTCCACTACCCTCAATAAGAAACCCACCTAATGTTTCTGCTCCCTGATCTTCCCATGTCTGTCTGTCAGGCCACCACAGAAATTTAGAGTTCTTTTCTAGACCCACCCTGTATAACCAATCAGCCGTCAGTCTGTTCCCACCCTGTATAACCAATCGGCCATCACTCTCTTCCCATCCTGTATTGCCAATCGATGATCAGTCTGTCCCATCCTGTATATCCAATTGGCCATCAGTCTGTCCCAGCTTCTCACCTTTTCTCTTCTTTCCCATTTTGTCATCCAGCTTGTTCCAGCTTTCACCAAATCACATGCACATTAGTGCATCCATTCATCTGCTCTCACCACGACCTGGTGGAAAGGAAGCACTTTACAGACATAGATCACGATCCATAGAGAGGTTGCGTGAGACCAAACAGGAACAATACACCTTGAAAGTTAATGGGATAGCAAAAGAGGAAGAACAGACCTTATAGGTTAAGGGTTCTGTTTGCAGGTAAGGCAGTTAAGGAGTTCCTGATTGTCCTATGTAAATCCTTTCAAGTTAAGGCTTCTGCTTATAGTTAAGAAAAAGTCCCTGTTTGTGCTGTGCTTGACCAAGGCTTCTGTTTGTAATTAAGAATAAGTTCCTGTTTCTTAGGTCTGATGGAAACTGCTTGCATCCTCATTCAGAAGGTATATAACCTTACCCTCGGTCCTTCCCTCTCACTGTATAGCAGCCAACTCTCTCACCCCTATGAACACCTTCCCTCTCCTAGAAAAGAAACTTCAAGAGGCCAGCAGGGACTGCCCTCTCAAATCCCAATTTAGGATGAGTCCTGGATGCACCCCAAAATACGGCTTGCTTTAATTGTACAGTCATGGGTTTGGTTCTTTTCTCCTCTCGATTCTCAGGCTTAACAGTTACTCCCTAGGAGAGTCAAAGAGCTACTCTGTAGAGATGCAGGACCTGAAGCTAAGTTTGGACCTGACTTTGCCCTGTGCTGTCTCTTCCCATCATCCTGTGGTCCCTAAGGGGGCCTCTGCTGGCAGCTCGCTGTCTTCACTAGAACTCTGCCCTTGGTCGTCAAGGCTTCTCCACTCGGCTTTGTTGTCCGCCACTCCTCCTGCCTCCCCTGTCCCGCTCACTCTGTTCTCAGAGATGCTTTGAACACTTCTGAAAAGACCTCCGGTTACAGTCCCGTCCCATCTTTCTGTGGCTCCTCGAAGCATGTGTCATCTGTCCTGGGCTGTGCTGCTGAATGAGGTCCCACTATGAATGGCCATCTCTTTTTGTAGGCTTTACTTCTCTCGGGTATCTCAACCTCTCCATTATTGCAGTTGACACCCGATGGTTCTTTACTGTGGAGGGCCTTTCTGTGTAGCACCCCTAGTGCACAGAAGAGGCACGCAGCAGCAAGGCCTCCTCCCCTCTGACACCCACACCACTATCACCCTTTAGTTGTGAAAATCAAAACATTTCCACACACTATAAAAAGTCCCGCAGGGGTAAGTTGAAAGCAACTATGTTTTAAGCACTTTCATAAGTCTTTCTGTTCCGAGGGATTGTATCTTACTCTTTGCTTTGCCTTTTCATGGATCCTGATCAGTACCTGGCATATATCAAGATCTCCGTAAGTAGCTGCTGTATAGGACCTGGCTGGTCTTCTCACCATTGCAGTAGCCCTGTCATAGAGGATCTCAGGCCTTGATGCCACACACAGAGACAACTGTGCTGCCCAGGACCTTTGATGGGTGACCATGTGGGAGAGCGAAGCTGAAGGAAGGCTTTGGGAACACTAACTAGCATTTGTTGGGCCACAAGCCTACGACTTCATTCCAGATCTCCGCAAAAACAAAAGTTGAGAAAAGCTTATCCAAAATTAAACACAGAGGCTTGTCTGATAGTAGTGTGTTATCATCCAAAATCAGGCATCAAACCATGAAATGCTAAACAGAATTATTTCAGTAATACCCATTTTTATCAGGATTAGCATATGGGGTCAAAAAAGGCATGACTGATCCGTTATAGCAAAGAGATGACTCTCGACAACTAATCAAGAGCTTCATTCGGAGGAAATGAACACAGCTAACAAAACCAATCTCCTAGGAACGGCCGTTCTCGACTTCTACCAACATGCCCCTTATCCTGCAGCATATTACTGCACTCTACACTCGCCTATGTTAACTCACTCACTCACTGCTCTGACATTGAGATAGTTCCTATTGTCTTGTGACGTGGTGGTTCATCTTCATTGTCAACCTGACTAGGTTTAGAACACCACGAGGTTCACCTTTAGGTGTGTCTCTGAAGATGTTTCTCGAGAGGATTAGCTGTAAGACTTAAGATTGACCCTGAATGCACATGACTCTCCCACAGGCTAAGGACCCAGACAGAATAAAAGGAGAAAAGGGGAAACGCCAGGCAATTGTCATCTTTCATCCTTCTCTCTACTTCCTGTTTGGCTGTGAAGTAACCAGTGTTTCTCCACTGCAGGCTCCTGATCGCAGGATCTTCTGCCCAAGCCCCTGAGCACAAGCATCCAAGGACTGAGCCCTTTGAAACTGCGAGGCAAGATGAACTCTTCCTCCAACACAGGCAACTTAGCGCTGGTGTCGGGTATCTGGGTCACAGCAAAGCAAAAGTAATGAACATATATGGAGCTAACAGGACCAGTCTCCACATTCCAGACAGAGTAATCAGATGCCTCCGCACTTTGCCTAGTCACAGAGCGGCTGATCCTGAATTTAAGCGCAGAGAGTGTCCTCAGTCTGTGGCAACGAAACAGCCCTGATGGATGAGATCAGGACAGCAGGAAGAGGCACTGCTAGCTTAGGAGAAGCCTCAGTTTCCCCCACCAGTTCCCTAGAACTCGGTCAGCTATCATTCACTGCGTTCTCACCAGACAAACTTAAACACCAGGCAGATGGACCCTCCCTCCTCTTTAGACAGAGGGAGAAAGAGGACCAAGGAAGCCAACGGAGTCCTCAGCCTCCACAGGCCCTCTTGTTTGAGCCCCTACAGGGCCCCTGACTGAGAGAAGACCTCTCCTTGCTATCTGGGAGGACCTAGAGTTTATTCTGGTAAGCTCTTCGTGGCCAATACAAGAGAGGCCTACGGTGGGTGCTGTGGTGAGGGGCACTTACAGGTGTCTGAGCCTGACTCCTGTACTAGACAGGACTAGCAAGGGAGGTTGGCTCCTGTGACCTTGGAGATCAGCAGGTCCAAAGCCTGTGGGCAGGAAGCTCAGGAGCTAGTCTGAGCCCAAGGGCAGTCGGCAGGCAGAATTCTTTCTTACTCAGGACTAGTCAGATTCACCTGTCAAGTCCTTCCTTCGTGAGGCTAACATTCACACAGAGGATAAACCTCCCTAATTTAAAATGTATCCATTTAAACATCAGTCTCACCAAAGATATTCTCACAGAAGCATCCGGGATATCTAAGCCGATTTTATCCAGGTGCCCTGGCCCGGCCACAGTGTTAGCAATCACAGCGCTTTAAGTACAGAGCATAGCAGGTGAAGTGCACACTCTTCAAGGCCTGAGTTTGATTCCCAGAATTGATTCAGCAAGTGCACCATGACACGCACACATGCCCACACATCATATACACATACATCCTATACATACAATAAAATCAAGAAATAAAATATAACAGCAAAGAGATAAATGCATTTCAAAACATACAACTCTGAAAAAGAAATCTCAGTGCCAGCCAGCAGGCGGGATATCTGGATGTAGGACAGGACGGTCCCAGGTTCACGGCACCCTGAATCACAGCTGCACAGCACCAGTGCCGTGGCCTGGAAACCCAGCGGCTTCCCCCTGACTTTAGCTTTGTTCTCCTCTGCAGTCTGGAATTTGGGAGAAAGGCTTTTCAAAACTCCTTATTCTTCCTGATTCCGTGGCAAAGACAATTGCCTGCACACGAAGGTACAACCCACCCTGCTGCCACTGTAGTGACGCAAAGGTTCTGGCCACTGTCTCCCAAGACCGAATGCAGTTGTGAGTCAAGAAGCCAACCTCTGCCTTTTCATAGACCTGCCCCTTCTGCCACCTCTAATGCAAGCAAACGCCTGCCACCCAAAATTCACCTCCAAAGGGATAAGAACCTGAGAGACAAGCAGCTCATCATATGCCCTTGCTCGGCACAAGTCTGTAGCATGAATAATAAAAACCCAGAGACAGATATTGGGCTTTAAGCTGAAGATCAGAAAAGCAAATCAGCCAAGCCACTGGAGAGTTCTTACCTCTCCCAAGGCTCAGAGTCTCTAGGGATCCTCAAACTGATATTTTGCATATTAACCCAGGATGCCCTGGAGTCTTGGGATTAAAGGTATGTGCCACCATTCCCTGGCCTCTAGTGGCTTAGCTCTGCATTCTGACCTTCAGGCAAACTTTATTAAAATACAAATAAAACATTATATAAGTCCCCAAATTCTAACCATATTTATTAAATATTAACGTACTGAACCAAAATTTACTCCATCACAAATGCCACTGACCTTAGGATTCATTGGCAGTTTCTACATACAGTACCCAGGTCTTCAGGGACAGGGAGTGGATTGGCGAGCTCCCTTCCACACACACTCCTGATTACAGAAGTTACTCAGTAGCCTTGGGCAATAAACCTGCAGAGGGAAAGCTTGTAGCAAATTTCCAACATAGCCAGGAACTCATCCATATCAAGGGTCTTTGCCAGAGACACAAAATGCCCCAGAAGTAAGCAATGGCCGTTTGCTTGCTGGAAGGTCCTGTAGAAAGGACACTCAGTGCTGAGGATTTCCATAGGCACCCAACTTTCTCACTCAGGTTTCTATCTACATTGTTCTTTCTATCTACTTCTTATTCCCCAACAAGTATCTTTAGCAGTATGCCCACATGGCACATTAGAACAAAGGCCATCATATCCAGACATAACCTTTCCACACTGGACCATCTCCCCTAGGCTAGGTGGTACCTGGAACTATTTGTTATGTGTCCATCCTCCTTTTATCTGAGATGGGTGCCTGAGGGGCTCCTTCCTCCCAGGAGGTTCATATCGGCCACAGAGAGCTCTGTTTGGGAACAGACTTCCTTCCACCAAACAGTGAGAGGGAGGAAAGAGCATCATTTGGCAAAGCTATCCCTATGGTCACCTCTGGGCAGGTAAAGCCACGGTGGTAAAAAGCCTTGGGCCAGGCTGGCTGGGAAGCAGTCACTGTGTTCCCAGTGTCTGAGATTTACAGGCAATGTCTCAATGTAGCTGCTTGGCATAGGCAGTGTGGAATTTCTTCTGGATTGGATCGATGCCTCTGATGAGATTCGCTTCTACTGAATGTGGGCATCATAGTAACTGGCAGGTGGCTGGTGATTTTTTTCCCCTTAAAATCAGGCTTAAAACTCACCCAGTTTCAGGAGTTAGTTGTCTGAGCCAAAAAAAAATGTGATTTTTTTTTCCCTAGCTCCAGAAAGCTGTGGGAGAGAAAGCCTCACAAACTGGTGGCCCAGGATGAGTAGAATGGAACACTTTTTTTTTTTTTGGAGATAGTGTGTCTTTTTATATAGCGCTGGCTGTCCCAGAACGCAACAGGTTGGCTTTGAACCCACAGAGGCTCTGCCTCTGCCTCCCGAGTGCAGGGATTAAAGGTGTGTGCCATCATACCCATCTCAGAATGGGTAGTCTTCAACTCACTATAAGCCAGGAATTGCTTCTCCTCAACCCCTCTCGCCCATATCACTAGGAGTTTATAGAAAAGTCAAACTTTTTTCTCCGCCACAAAAGCCTAGCACTAGATCCACATCTCGGGGTCTTTTGGGACAGACACATTTTAACTGAGTTGACCAGGTAGTTTGGAGGGGGGCTCAATAGTGGTAGCTTTCCTCCAGTTTCCTGGATGTCAAGCCAAGAGCTCACAGCAGCATGAGGGTGAGAAGTGATAGGCTGAGGTATCCACCTGGATGTTTATCCAACTTTAAGAAGCTATTCTTTATTCTAAATTTATACATTTGGGTGTTAATTATCCTGTGTGTGTCTACGTCCCGTTTGTTGTTTGATGGCTCATTTATTGAGTCAGTCTCCTCACGGAGGCCAGGATGGTCTTGAAGTCTAAATTCTCCAACCTTCCCCCTCACCCCCAATGCTGGATGACAGGTTTTTGCTACCATCCTTGTACCTTCCCAAGAAATGATGGTCGCCTGAGATGTTACCTTTTTTCTAAATATATTGACCAAGAAGGAAGATCTCTGTAGCAGCCCCAAACTGCTTTGTTTTCTTTGGTTGTATATTAGACTGTGAAACATTGGTGAACGGTTCCATTGGGGGATTCCACGGTAGGAGAAAAGAAGAAATGGGTCCAGAAATAGATGCATTTGGGTAGATGAGAAGAATGGCTCTTGGCCTGTCCTGAGCCTGACGTTTATTGTTGCTGGGGAAGGAGTATAAGGAAGACTCTAGAAGCCTGAGATGGAGCATGAGGAGATATTCCACAGAGCAAAGGGTGCTGTGTGGAAAGGCTGAGAGTTTTCTATCAGAGAATGGCATCTATGTGTCCCAGCTGTGATCAGGTTCCCTCTATCCCTCAAAGACATCCATAGAAGCAAGTGCTCTTATCACCGAGCTACACCCCCTACCCTGGTTGCGGTGTTCCTATGAGACAAAATCTCGTTCAGACCCAGTTGGCCTGGAACGTACCTCCCTGGGTGTGCCCAGCTATGCTTGCAGAAATTGCTGACTTCTTCTAGGTAACGAGTCCACATGAGCTGGACTCTGTAGTCATCTTACACACAATCTCTTCTCTGCCCCACACCTCAAGGTCCCGTTTCCTAGAACTGTTCACAGGCTCAGGGATCTCACTCGCTTTCTCACCAGCTTGTGAAGTGAAGAAATGTCAGACTGAGCCACAGAGCGTATGGACCCTGGACCACAAGCTGAGCTACCTACTTCTGTGTGGGCACGGAGGGCAGGTGCGACTGGCTGGGGAATCTCTACAGAGGAGCAATGCCATCTGCAAATCCATACCCAAGAGGGCAGGGAAGCCTTACAAAGGTAGATACAAACTGGCCACAACCCCTATTTTGATACAAGTTAGTTACAGGGGAAACGAGACATTATTCCAAGACAATAGGACACACGCATCCTGTATTTGTGCCTGTTTTAACCCCGAGGCTGTGGGTGAGAAAGAGCACCTACTGTAGCAGAGGCAAAGGCAGAAGCAGACACGTCAGGCTTTGGTCTGTGGCTCTCTGTGCACTTGCCACTGCAGACATTCTCTACTTCTGAGAACAACTTTTATGACCTCTGTGTTTCTGTGAACCAGCTGCTCTCCGCCAACTCAGCAGGGTCCCTGTGGCTCCAGGTCTCTCTGAAGCTGCAGTCAAAGCAGGCTAGCCTAAAGCTAGAAAACCACTTCCAAGTTCACTTCACAGCCATTGGCCGGCACTTGGTTCATGGAGTCTGGGTTTCCAGGGCAGCCAATGCTCCAAGGGTCAGAAAGGCTGGAGACAGCCAAGACAGGCTGTATCTTTTGGCACCAACTCTCAGAGGTGACGTCACATTGTACTCACATATTTGAGAGAATAGCTAAGTCGGCTTCCTAAGAAGGATTGATTGCTTATGGGCATAGCTTCCTGGAAGTAGATTGCACCAGAGGCCAGCTTAGACGATGCTTACCCCAGGCAGCTTCATATTAATAACAATAACAATGGATCATTAACTTTGCAGGGTTGGTGTGAGAGATGGTTCTGAGCACCATTTTTTCTTTCTACATTACAACTTGGGAACAATAAAAAGACAGAAAAATACATGGTGAAAAATGTTCCAGAAGAGATAAGTTTTTCTAATCCTCAGCCATGGCGTGAGGATCTTGGCATCTAAATAAATGTCTGAGCTGAGCCTGTTCTCATGGTAATTCAGCTGCTAAACACACTGGCAATTCCAACCACACTTCACGAATGTAACCTCACTGCAGCAGGGTCCTTGGCCCCTGTTCAGAACTGGCCATCACTCCATCTGATCGAAATCCCACCCTACCCACACAACTATGTACTCTTCCCTTCCAGCAGCCTGTGACTCTGGGTTGACATGACAGCCCTTAGAGAAAGTCAATGTGTTTGGTAAATGATTGGCAAATACAAATAAGCATCCTTAAGTTCAATACACCCTGGAGCATGCTTGGTATTTCCTTGTCAATGGTGAACACTGGTTATTCCACCCAGAAGACAACAGGGTGTTGTTTAGCTGTGGCCGATGGCCGAAAGGAACAGGTGATTCTTGCCATCCAATCAGACTAGCAGACACTAGATGATACAGGGAAATTACATTAAAATCATCTTTCTAGGCCATTGGGGAAGAATCATCAATGACCCCAGAGATGGCTAGTCTCCTGCTTCATCCCTAGACATCCTAGACCTGTCTCAGGCTCCTTTACAAGTAGCCACGCCTTTCCTGTTACAACGCATGACCTTCTCCTAGTTCTGAATTCTGGAAAAGCCATGAGGGCCTTTAGCCTCCCATACAGTATCACTGTTCAGTGTGCTCTGTGTTTGGAGAGGTGGGGTTTGGGGCAATTCTGTGTAGCTTTTTCTGCTTTGATCTGCTTGGCCCGTTTCTGACAACAGGAAGCCTTTGTTTTATTGTGTTGTTGTTCGGTTTTAGTCCTCGGGAATGAAGACCATAAATCATGGTCAAGAAGGCACAACTGGAATAGCATGGGCTTGTTTCTATAAACCCATCCTCGTGTATGTGTGTGTGTGTGTGTGTGTGTGTGTGTGTGTGTGGTGGGGGGTCCTAACCAGGTTCTGCGGCTTGAAGAGACATGGCAAACTCACAATCTATTTTTCCTTACTCCTGCTAAACATCAGAATTCTGGCCTAATCTGAAACGACTGAGCGCTGTTGATTTTGATTCCACAGGCCATCCAGAATTAAAATCAAAGACAGTCTTTTCCTTCCATCTTCTATTTTTGGTTGTGAACCTATCCCTCAACAGCTGAGCCATCCCTTCAGGCCTTTTCCTTCCATTAAAAAAACAAAACAAAACAAAACAAAAAAACCCAAAACTATATACTTAAGACACCTCTCTGAGTCTTCAAGTTAAATTAGTGAGTGCTTCTAAGAATTGCCCTGGAGCTTTAAGCACAGCTAACTAGACAAACCATCTGTCATTTTTAACTTATCATTTCTTCCCGATATCCAGGAAAGGAGGCAGAAAGGGGGTCCTCATGCTGCAGACTTGTTCATACAGCCAAGTTGCCAATGGCGACCTGTCAAAGCTGAGGCAGGAGCAGAGCAAGAGTTTGGTCTCCTGGCCTTCAACTCCGAGCTCTTTATCGTTCTAGAGAGAAACGCATCACATCCCATCGACTGCATTTCCACACATGGAAAACACTTTTTTTTTCCTATTTTCATTTGTGTTCCCAACTCTCAAACGCTTAATTTTATCAGGAGACAGCGGCTATTTAAATAAGCCACAAACTCCTGTCTCTATATCTGAAGAAATTATCTTCAAGAGTCTACAAATTCCATGTTTAGCAAAAACCTCCCCAACTGCTCAATAATTAGTAACACTCCCTTAACCAAGCTGGCATTAAACAGCAAAGCCCATCTTACTTACAAGAGGACAGAATCATGGCTGCCCTGCCGCCTGGGCATACACAGAAGCCTTGGTTCTTCGGACGTGGCCCACTGACAGCAACACATCTTTCAACTGAAAGCATAGTTGGCCTGTGACGTTTCTCGCAGGCCAAGCTTACCCCACCTATTTTCCTGTTCTGAAACCTCAGAGGAGTGTGTGAATGACAACCCGGCGGCCTACATAAGAACGCTCAGAACGCTGTATCCACATCTGAGGTGTTTGTTAGCACTTCCTCATGCCTTCATGTGTGGGTGTGTCTAGAAAACATTTTGAAGAAATCACAGAATGTTGGTAAATGGGACCTTAAAATTGATCAAGTCAAACTGTCCTCCCTGGGCAGAGACTGGAATAAAGGAACAGAAAAGAAGGGGTTTTATTTGCCCAAGGGTCCACAGTGGTCCAGGGAAAACTGAATCCCAGGATTACGACTATTCAGTCTAGAACGTTTGCTCCTCTGAGCCCGGACTGACACCAGGAACCTGATTTTGGATTAGGTGAGATTTGGTGTGGCATGTGCTTTTAATTTCAGCACTTGGGAGGCGGAGGTAGGCAAATCTCTGTGAGTTCAAGGCCATCCTGTCTAAGTAGAGAGTTCCAGGACAACCAGGGCTACATAGAGAGACCCTGTCTCAAAAAAACAAAAGAGAAAATGGTTTTTAAATGATGTCAGTGCTAGTTTTGTTTCTCCATAGAACACATTTGTATGGGCTAGAGAAATGGCTCAGTGGATAAAGTTGACACAGAAGCATAAGGACCCGAGTTCAGAGCCAGAAAACTCATGGAATTTACAAGTGGGTGTGGTGTCCCACCAGTACACCAAGTGAGAAGTGGAGACAAGAGATTCTAAGAGCAAACTGGACAGCAAGACCAGCCAAGTGAGCCAGCTCTGAGTTCAGCTGAGAAGTTCCGTCTCACTACATAAGGAGGAACACAATCAAAGAAGACATGTAACATCAGCCTCTCCCCTGTGTGTGTGTGTGTGTGTGTGTGTGTGTGTGTGTGTGCGCACACGTACACATGGGCCTCACCCCAAGACATACATGTGGTAAAAAGTTAAAAAAAAGCATTTGAGACTTCACACAGGAGCCCTACCTTCTTTACACTTTCCTCAGCACCAGCGATTTGCCCTCATAGCTCATCCAGGTGAAGGGAGAACATGGCCGTGTGTGTGTGTGTGTGTGTGTATGTGTGTGTATGTGTGTGTGCGTGTTCATGTGCATATGTGGTAGGCAGCAGTAGTAAGGTGGACCCGCACATGATCAGCTCCTTGAAGGAGGTACTTTTGTTCTTTAAAAGATAATATGCTGGCGGGTGACCGAGGCAGGCTAGTCCAGGCAGAGGCTGCCACCAGAGGTGCAGGTTCCACATGGCGAGTGGCAGAGCTGGCGGGTAGAGTTGGCGGATAAAAGGCGTACAGGACATAGTAAATAGACGTAAGGCTAAACATAAGGGTAAACATTTATTACTTAAAGAAGAAGGAGAGAAAGAAAGGCAGAAATAGAAAAGAGGACAGAGAGAGGAAAACACGTGTGCACACGCCAGGAGAGAGGGACAGAAGAGAAAGAGTTAAAATGGCAAAGAGGGAGGTCAGAAGTGACTGGGAGTGGGCGTGGTTAGCCCTTAAAGGGACCAGAGCATAAGGAATAACAGGTACAAATCAGTTAAAAGGTGTATATGGCGTTGTGATGTGGAGAGGTAGAAGGAAGGTGACAGATTATGACAAGAATATTTTGTTTTCCTTCATTATAAATGGTACAATCTTCAGTTCAGAAAGAACCCTGAACAGAGAGGTGCCCGTCTGAAGTCAGAGGGAAGAGGGTTCTCAGGAAAGCCTGTATGTTCACCAAATGCTCCACCTGGGGACACATCACAGTAGCTCCCAGGGACACTGACTAGTGAAGGAACTGTCCTTACCTTCCTCAGCTTCGGGGACTCACATATACCGAGAACAGTGTGCTCTGTAGGAAATCTTTCTTAATGGTGGTAGCTTGGTTGGTTTATTTTCCCTGAAGCTCATGGGGGGGAAAGGAAACTGTGAGTGAGAAACCCACTCAAAAGAGCTGGACAGTGAGGTCTAATGCAAGGTTGGATGGGCAGTCTCACTAATCCAGGGACCCAAGTCCAACCAGCCTTCTTGAAAACCCTACGACAGCTCAGAACATCTCCCTAGTTCCTTTGGCAGCATCCTGGATCACCACAGATAAGCCATTCTGGGGACCTACTTGTGATGGGTACCACTTGGTTATAACACCTCTGGTCCAGAGCCCAGCACCTCAATCAGAGCATCCACGATGCCCTAGGAACATTCTTAAGACTTTCGAGGTAACTAATTCTGTTATTAAAAGTTCCACCTAACTCTAACCCGCTCTGGTCACCAGGTCAGGGTCAAATAGCTCATCAAAGGCCATGCTGTGGTTCAAGCGGGGCCAACGTGTACTTGTATGAGTCTACCTGTGAATCAAGCATCTAACAACTGAAGGACCCAGGCACTTTCTTCTCTTCAGAAAGCAATATTTGAACCTTCAGGGAGAAAAAAATTGGCAGTTGTTAGAATTAGGACTAGACAGTCTCAAATCCTAAGAACTTCAATTAAAGGACAATCTCTAAAAGTTTGATGATAGCCTAGTCTACAGAGTGAGACCCTGTTCCAAAAATCAACAACAAAAATTTCAATTAAAGACACAAATTCATTATTCTTATAAATATATAACTTTATATATTATACGTATTTACAATATGTACAGTATACAGATTTTTAAATGTAATAATAAGAACAGGTTCGGAAAGAGATGTTTTCAAAACAGAGGATTACTACTTATTCAGGTGGGTTCCTGTTTTAACTAGAACTCGGTTGTAGGCAACACTCCAGGCTCAGGTTTATGCAGAAGCCAAAGGGGATAGAAGAGTCGCTGGGACATGGCTTCCCCCTCCAGAACACCTTGGCTTTCTACTAGCACCAGATAAGACAGCCCCATGTTCATCTCTAAGATGGTCAAACCTGAGCCGGGGCTCAGTGCCTGGTACATGGTTGGCACTCAAGTTCTTGGAGGAATGAACGAAGTGAGAGCTTCAGGTCACCAGCTCTGAGACACCATCTCCGCAGCCTACAAAGCAGCCACGGAGCTCCGGCTGGACCAGAAGCAAGGGCTTTGGAGTCCCCACACTGTAAGCAGACCCGTCTGTGCTCCCAGGTGCCAACTGAATTACGTTCCCACCGCACGCTGTTTCTTCCTCTTGCCTTGGAAATCGGAGCCACCGTTTATCTTCCAAACGTTTCTTCACATTCAACCAGTTCGTCTATCGTACGGAGCAAATCTTCAAACGAAGGCCTTCCCTCTGGCTTCTACAAAAAGTCCACGAGAAGCTGTGAGTCTCAGAATCCATTCCCAAGAAAACTCTCTCCGCTCAAATCCCATGAACACCACACAGGCAAGATTCAGGGACTGGGGAAACACAGGCTGGCCATTCTAGGCCCCAGCTAACTCCATGGCTGCTAGATCCCTGCTGTCATTGTACCTGCTCAGGGACCTACTAGAGCTCCATGGTGCCTAAGAAATCAAGTCTTACTCCTCTGCGACCCGCCCCTCCCCCATCACCTTGTCACCTAACCTCATTTCCCACAAAAAGCCTCACTCTGGCTCTTTGTTAAATCAGACTAAGCTCCACCCTCGGGTACATACACCATGTTTACAACCAAATCCTCGCCTTTGTTCATGTTGCTCTCTCTGGTGCCGCTTCCTGCCCAATCAGCCTCTGCCCACCCCAAACAGTGCATGTGGGAGGCATCACAAGAAGTGACAGGGAGCCTCAGCTCTGGTGCCCCATGGGGTTCTGATGCTCTGTGGGCAACTGGTCCTGGGCAGGCATCACTGTCTCCTATCAAATGGTCTCTCAAAGGGTTACTCTGAAAACTCCATACACAATATATGTGAACGCCTGTCTTCCAAGGGTTTCTCTGATGTTTAATCTCTTTATGGAGGTGATATTTTCAATGTGTCTAGTGATTGAGTAAGATACCTGGAGACACTGAGATCAAAGAAGAACCCTTCTCTAGAAAGAGTGTTGCTTCAAATCCACGGCTGTTGCACGGGAAGGGGAGGAGCAACTTCTCCAGGCTTTCCCAAGCCCCGGGCTGTGGAGTGGCTCTCACCTGGGAGTGAGGCATCAGCCTGAGAATAGTAAGCTAACTCTTAGCCTTCTCCATTTCTTCAGATTCATTTCAATACTTAGAATGGAGACAAAGATTTGACTTCCTGTTGGAGTCTGAAATCCCTGTGCGGGAGGCGCGGCCTCACCAGGCTGTGAGGGAAGGACCTTCCCCACCACTGGATCAACTGCTAAACGCTTTACAGATCACAAGACAATATAAAGAAGTAGATACCTCCTGCCAACACCTCAGCATCACCTCATACAAATATTTGGATGCCAACTTTGGCCGGTGGAGTCGGTGGCCTCGCGTAACCATGGTTACCACTTCGTAATTGGTGTTCTTCTCGAAGGGCATCCTGCCTTCTGTGAATACTTCCCACATTAGAACACCTACAAAATGATTAAGGCTATTCAATGATGTGTCCGCTTCCTCCTCAGAGGGGAGGAGAGGACGCACATGTCATGGACCTTACCGAATGACCAGACGTCTGACTTGCTGCTAAATCGGCTGTAGTTGAACACTTCCGGGGGGCACCACTTGACGGGGAACTTGGCACCGGAGGAACTTGTGTACTGGTCGTCCAGAACATACCTAGGGCGAGACACGTGGGTTACACCTTCGCATGCCAGACGTGGGCTTTCATTTCCCCCTTACACAGACAAAACAAGCCAGCAACTGAAGTCTACCACGCACCTGGCTGAAGCGAAACGCTCAGCTCATGGCATTGCCCCGCGGTGTCTACCTCCTGAGCCTGCGCTAGGTCACGAGAAGAGAACCTCACACCCCTGGTATGCACACCTTCGTGGTTCTGCTGTTCATCTTCCTTTCTTTTTATGAGGCAGCAGAGGCAGACCATCAGATAACTGCTGCAAACTTTTGGGTCTGTGATCTTGTTCTCTGAACAAACTTTCACCCAGAGGCCCTGTGCGCGAAAGACCT